TTGATGTGTCGCTTTCATTATTTTTCATGTAGGAATATTTTCTTGTTTCCCTGTGGCTCCTTCTGTTGGACATACATCTTTTGGTTTTCATGTATTTGGGGATTTTCTAGATGGCTCATTGATTTCTATCTCAGCCTCTTTGCAGTCAGGTGACACATCTTAGGCATTACTGATGTTCTGGCCCAGCGTAGGATCTGGTGTGATGAGCATACCAGAGCCTTGAGAACTGTGGATCTCGCAGTTATTGGGAATATACGGAATGGTGTGGATGGATAGCAGTTATTGGGAGTATATGGAATTGTGTGGATGGATAGCTTATTCAGTTCATCTACATTCAGGTTGTTTTGCATATGAACTACTAAAAGCTTTTTTAATGTCCAATTCTGATTTTGGATTTTGACCTGTCTTTAGTTTTACAGGTTTTCATTTAACATATTCTAAGATTCATCATTGGGTATTTAAAATTTTGAGTGTTACAATGACTGCCTAGTGACCTTGCCTTTTTATCATTGTGCAATGTTTGGTTGTGGCCACAGCATTGTCTTGGCACTTATTTTGACCGATATCAATCTGTTAATACACACAGCCTCGTTACACAGTGAAGCTTTCTTTTATTCCATTACTGCCAACCTGTGTCTTTACAGTTGATGTTTCTCTCTAAAAAGCAGCCAAGAATTGGGTCTTGCTTTGTTTTCCAAGCTCAGAATGGGTCACCTGACCACTGCCAGTTGAAAGGGGTTCTGGGAAAGCAAGTCTTGGCTTTCCAGCTTGATAGGAGGCAGCAAGAAGATGGATAAATATAGCTGCTGTGTCCAACAAATGTTTATTAAATAAATATGAAACATGTAAGCTGAAGACTGTTTCTCTTTTCCCAAGCGGAGTGTTCTGTGCAATTATTTTGAGGAAACAAGCACAGAGTTAGACATGCGCATACTTTCCCACCCCATACTGCTCTATTGTTTACAACTGGGCAGAGCACAAAGAGATAAAGCTCTCTGTGGCTGCTCAGAACCCATGGGGAACTCTACTTGGAGGGATTTTGATCTCATGTTCCCTGGAAGAGTATTCCATATTCACTGTTCTTCTGGTCAAGAAAGGCCTTTCATTTCTGTTCTCCTATGCATAGAGTGTTTCTCCTCACAAGGTGGAGGGATAGGCGACATGCTCACAGCTTAAAGGGAACTTGCCAGGGTATCACATGCACCAGACTGCAAGCCACTCTTTACCCACAGGCAGTGGCACTAAGGTGGCCACCAAGTGTTGCTTAGCCAGCACCTGGCACTCAAAGGGCCGCTAATAAACGTTAGCTAGCGTTTTACCTCTATTCAGAAGAGTGGGGCTTGCTCTTCAACAATGAGCCTCTTTCCCCTCGGTTATCCAAATACGGTTAGACCAAATGACAGTTCCAGGACCGATGTGCAGAATTTCTGTTCAGCTTCTATTCCTCAGTGGGGGTTCTGGAAAAACTCCAGGCAGGCAAGAATCACTTGAGGTTTTCTCTTGTGTCTGAAGTATGCTGGTTGGGTAAACTGTCACTGCATACCACCTGGCCTTGGAGGGAGGTGGTCTGATCTCTCTGGCTTCCAAGGTTACTGAAACACCACTTCTTGATGAAACTTAGCTCCTAGAGATGCCATTTATAACTGGCATTCCAGAACGAAAGTGCAAAGGTCCCGAGCCGAGCGCTCTTCTCCAGGTGTGTGTGTGGGGGTGCTTCCTGATGTTTTTAATTCTGAGCCCTACAGCCTGCACCGGATCTGTCCTATTACACATTAACAGCCTGAGGGGTCAGAAATGGTTCGGTGTCACCCCTGCAAAGCTCCCTGCTCTTGAAGAGAACTACAGAATTCACAGCATTTGTCGCCTCTATGTACCGTCTTTCGTCTCTGCATCAGGCTGGTGGTAGTCAAATGTAATGATTAACAGGCCAGGATTTTTTTTCTATCTAAAAAATGATTTTTAATTTTGCAGTGCTGGAATCTGAACATAGGCCTCATGCATGCAAGTCAAGCATGCTTTCTCTGTTCTATCTCCCAACCCTTAAGAAAATTGCTTTTTGAGAGCTGTGTGACCCAGATTGGCTTATGTTTGTGATTCATCTGTCTCAGTCTCTTGAGTGACTGGGATCACAGGTGAATGTCACTGGGCCTATTTTATAAATTTAAATCCTGACTTGGCTATTTTCTAGCTTTGGATCTTGAACCCATAGTTTTTCCTTTTCTTAACTACACATCCTTATCTGTAGAGAAGACAGATTAATATCCACATTACAAAATTATTGCAAGCATTAGCCATGATACCCATGAGACTCTCACATAATGAAAGCAGAGCTCCAGGAATGGCTAGATGCAGGGACTCCACCAAGTCCCTGCTTCACTGGACTTTCATTGTATTTCCTTTGGCGTGGGCCTTGTCCTTAGACAGGCTCTCCCTTGATGGAGTACAGTGGCCCATATATCTTTCCATTTTCAAGTCGGGAAGGAGAGGAGATATCTCTTTTGATCCAGGCCCACACCTTTAAACCAGAGGCAGAGGCAGACTGAACTCTATGAGTTCTAGGCCAGCCTGATCTACAAGACTGTTATACAGGGAAACCCTGTCTCGGGGGAGTCTCATCGTCCCAGAATGCATCATGCCTTGACCATGACAAGTGGTGCCTAAGCCACCAGCCTAGCTTTGCATCTAGGAGTAAAGTTGACTTCTAAGGAGGAAATGAGATCATGATATCCAAGCGAAGGGGATGAATATTACAAGGATGGAGTAAGAAAAGGCAATTTTCTCCTAGAGTGCATAAAAATGAAAGTGACTTGGGGCTTTACACTAATCCTAGAATCCCAGAATGAAGGAATGCTTTCTCGGGTCTTGAAAGAAATAAAATGAGGTGCATGGAAGATAGTGCCACTTGAAACAGTAGCTAGGAGCTTATGCAAGAATTGTTTCAAGGACTGAATGAAAATAAGGACTTAACAAAATGAATGAAAAAGTCATGAAAGGAAGCTAGGATCTGGTAGGGTGGCTTGGGTGGTGAGTGGTAGTGGTGAGTGACTGGGTGGTGGGTGGCTGGGAGTGGTTGGTGGCTGTGGGTGATAGGTGGCTGTGGGTGAATGGTGACTGTGAGTGGTGGCTGGTTATGGGTGACTGTGGGTGACTGAGCGGTAGGTGGCTGGCTGTGGGTGATAGGTGGCTGTGAGTGAATGGTGGCTGTGAGTGGTGGCTGGTTATGGGTGACTGTGAGTGGTGGCTGGTTATGGGTGACTGTGAGTGGTGGCTGGTTATGGGTGACTGTGAGTGGTGGCTGGTTATGGGTGACTGACTGTGAGTGGTAGGTGGTTGTGGGTGGTGGGTGGCTGAAGGTAGCTGGTGGCTGTGGGTGGTGGGTAGCATCTGGTACTCTGTAAGATCATTGGTGGAGGACAACTACTCCCAAAAGCAGATGCAGAGCTCAGGACTGAACTTCTGTTTCCAGAGCTGTCTGCCCTCAAAAGTAGATGAGGTCGGATAGGCCAGAGTCCTCCAGCGCCAAGGAGCCCCCTTCGCATCTTTTAGAGTAGCTACCTCTGGACAAAGGCTTTCCTCTGGGTCTTTCAGCAGCGCCGTGATCTGGAAACATAGTGGTTCATCTGTGTTTAATTAAACACAGTGCTTTTAGGAGCCTCCACCTGAAGTAGATTCAATAAGCTCTGGGTGGAGCCCAGATGACAGGTTAGTAAACAACTCCCTCCCTGTCAGGCTTGGCGACTGGAGGTGTGGCAGCAGTGGGGGAGGGGTGCGGGAGGGTGGACCCTGTCCCTCTGTCTCTAGCTGTACCACTGCCACCTCTGTTTTCTTCCTAAGATGTGAACCACAAAGACAGGACTTGTGCAGCTTTGAGTCTCCGGTGTGCAGCCTGGTGCCGGGTAAAGGTAGGCACCAACAGCCATTTGTTGAAGGAATTCAGGGAGACAAGTGGCAGCAAGCTGACTTTTCCCACGGTGGGGAAGGACTTTTCTGGGAAAGAGAACCTTCTGTTTCTGGAAAGAGCTTCTGTAAAGGAAGAAAGTTCATGATAACAAAAGAAATAATGACCGTGGGGTGAAAGGCTCATGACAGATCCAGTCTGTGTACTGTTTTCAAAGGCTCTTCCTGGGCTGGGGCTCAGTTGGCAGAGTGTTTGCCTAGCCTGCATGAAGGCCTGTGTTTGGTCCCCAACAACACAGAAATATGGTGGTGCATGCCAGTAATCCCAGCATTTGGGAGCTGAAAACAGGGGGATTAAGAGATTCTATGTCATCCTCGGAATTAAGGCTAGCCTGGGACACATGTGACCCTGTTTCAAAAACAAACCCACCTCAGTCACTTTAATACAACAGTGACAGCAGTCATGTCACTGTCATGGTCATTATTTGACTCATTAATGTCATTATGAGCGTTAGACACTGGGTTTACTCTTTTGATTATCATGGGGATGGGCTATCCACATCCCATGCTTATTTCACAGATGCCAAAAGGGAGGGAAAGGGAGCTCATGGATGGGAAATGGCACACTACCATGCCTACCCCACACCTTGTGCGGTAGCACACTTCTGAAGAGAGCATCACACTCAGCTGCCAAGTACCCATGTCTGTCTTAAACACACACCAGCATCCAGCAGAAGAAGTCAATAGCTGAGGGAGTCAGGGGAAACAAAAAGGCCCTTCAATAAAGAGACCATTGTACACCTCTCCAAACAAGCTCTTTTCTTTCTCATTTCTGCTCCCCTGCTGCGTTCTGAAGGTCACTGCCTGCGTCTGCACAAGCCAGGGAAAGTCACCAAAGGCATACTTGGCAAGGGGAAGTAGCAGCGGGAAAGGATCTGGGAGTAGGGACAAGGAGGAGTGGGGGAGGAGGAGATAGGATGGGGAAGAGGAGCAGGAGAAGGAGAGGAGGAGGAGGAGGAAGAGGAGGAGGAGGAGGAGGAGACAGAAGGAAAAAGAGGAAGAAAAAGAGGAGGAGGAGGAAAAGGAGGAGGCAGCAATTTTATCACAAGGGACAACCAGGCTGACTTTTCTTCCCCTGGCCAGCCCAATGACATTCTTCCCTTTTGCTAACCACTCCCCGAGGCTGGCCTGGCTGCTCACAAACAGCCAGTCAGCCAGCTCTGGAGAGGCAGCCCACAGGCTCTTCCTCAGGCCCCAAGCTGGGTGCTGCTCCCCACTTCATCGGAGGGAAAGTGCTCTTTGAAGAGTTTGACAGGTGCGTGCCAAACTGAACTTAATTTCATTCTTTTAGGAGTGTGCTTTTTAAGAGCTGGAAACTAGGCTGGGGTAGCTGGCACTTGGAAAAGGTTCAGCCATGTTCTTGGGAGAGAAACCCACTTTAGTGATCAGCCTGCCTGCTCTAGAGTGGGGAGTAGGGCTATGGGAAGAGGGGGAGGAAGGTGACAGGGACAAAGCTTTCTGCAATAGCTGGTCCAAGAGGCCTTTAGTGCTATAAATGGCATGTAATGAAGACTGCCTTTGGACTCTGGGTGACTTGGGGATTGGAGTTATGGAGGGTGTGGATGAGCAGGTACCCTCAAAAATCACCTGCTTTGGAAAGTCATAAGCCCCAAGGTTTTGTCAGCTCCAGTTGACAGCAAAGCCTCCTTCTAAAGGAGAGGAGAGGTCACAAACGAGGAGTCCAGGTTTACCTGGGGTAAGGAAGCATGTTCTTTTTGAAAAGAAAATGTCTTTTAAAAATCTTCATTCCTAGAAAAGCCCAGAGACACTCTAGTTGGATTTTGCTCTGGGCTTTGAAGGGAGGGTTCTTGAAGTGAAGCATAAGCACAGAGCATGCCGGGAGTGACAGGCTGCCTCAGAACAGGGTCCCTGTCTAGGGAGAGCTAAGCCAGATGCACAAGGCTGCTCCTAGACTTCTCCACCCATTCCCCAGTGCTTCAATAGCAGCATCACACCAGGCCACGTCAAAGAGGGGGACCTCTAGATGTCACTTTTTCAATGTCCACTTAGGCCTTCCCCAGCTTCTCCCTCTCAAGTCTTTTCTGGGTGCCTCCTCCTTCCTTGGCCTCCACAGCTGATGGTCCTCAGGCTCAGAAAGGGGGCAGGCCCCGTTCAGCACACTGCTACACACTGAGCATAGGAAGGGCAACGGCAGACACCCTTAGAGCGTAAGTGGTAGTCAAGTTTTAGATTCATGGGGAGAGTTCCTGAATCCATTCTTATAATCACCATACTAAATTGTCCTTCGGTAACAGCAATGGAAAAGAACTCACACTCCATTCATTTTCAATGGCACCTATTCAGGGGTTGTAGAAGGCCCTGAAAGCACAGATGACCTTCAACAGCCCCTTGGAGGGATCATTAATCCCGTAGGGCAGGTTTTAAAATGGGAAAGTATCTCCTTTATAAATATCTGCCTTGACCCTCACCATGGCCTTCTGGAGCCGTACTGGCCTTATTGTACAGGTAAGGAGCCCAGGTTATGGACTGTAGCCCTACAAAGTCACAGTACAGTCACTCTCTGTGTCCTTGGGCTATGTACCTCAGACAACCTCAGACAGAAATTACAAAACCCAAACAGACAAAAGCTCACCCTACGACTGTACTGAACATAGACAGACCTTTCTCCTTACAATGGCTGTTTACACAGCATTGGCCCTGGTAGCAGTAAGGCATACAGGCAGGTTTTAAAGTGCACAGGGCCATCTGAGCTGTTTCTGCACACACATCTTGCTATCTTATGCAAGGGACTTGGGCATCCGTGGATTCTGGAACCCATGAGGCATCCTGGAATCTATCACCCACATATTGAGTGAGCCAGCTATGTTGTAACTGAGATTGAATTCTGTACCTTTCCATTATTTTGGGGCACCAGAATAGTTGAACTTTTTTTTTTTTTTTTTTTTTAGCAAAAACAAGTTGAGCCCTTGTGAATTAGAATCTCTTGGGTGAGGGATGCCTGGGTATATTAGTTTTAGAAACCAGAATCCAGGATGAGGGCCTAGCCCAGAGTTAAGCAAAGATGGGCAGTTTGGATCCCCAGAAACTATGTAAGAAGCCGATGGGAGTGGTGGTCCACCTGTAATCTCAGTGACAGGGAGGAGATGGGAATCCACATCCAGCTAGCCAGATAAGTCAGAAGAACAACAGCAAGCCTCAGGTTCATTGAGAGACTGTCTCAATATATAAGGTAGAGTGCCATTGAGGACAAAGTCTGATGTCAACCTTGGGCCCCTACACACACACACACACACACACACACACACACACACACACACACACACAGAGGGGAGAGAGAGAGAGAGAGAGAGAGAGAGAGAGAGAGAGAGAGAGAGAGAGAGAGAGAGAGAGAGAGACCTGATGTGCACTCAACACTAAACCAGTCTCCTGGCCTCTTCCAAGTGCCAGACAGACCTGAGCTTCCAAACTTCTGTCCAGATGACCCCACCATTGCACGCACCCTAGCCTGCTTCCTCTTGCGTCTGTTACCTGCAGGCACCCACATGTTCTCTTTGGGGCACCTCAGCCTCTGGGAACTCCTCCTCCTCTTTCTCCCTCTTGCCACAGCTGGCACACCCACGCCATTCTCTGCTGGCCAATTCCATTTAGTACTAGCTTTCATAGTTTCTGCCTTTGCTTCCTGCCATGGCCCTGGAACTAGTCCCAAGGCTGTGTCTCTCTGGCTTTGGGTTTGTACCTAGACTCTACCCATTGCCTTTTCCCAGTCTTTGGTTTCCAAAACCCAGCCCTCATCCTTTCTCATGTCAGATTAGAACTTAAACTTTTTGAAACTGATATGTATTTGTACATATTTATGGGATGGATGTGATATTTTAGGCCTGTACACTAGCCCCACCCCCACCAGGAGATGGACATGGCTTCTCCAGTGTCCCCAGACTTCAACCTTAGAATTGTGTTGGGAAGGCTTGAGGACCTGCTTGTCTTCACCCTTGTTTGCATTCAACAATTAGGTATCCTGCTGCCTGGTTGGGACCTAGGAGCTGGACAGGACTAGAAAGGCGGTAGGGACAGTTTAGGGACAGTCAGAAACATAGAGACTCAGAGACAGACATAGGTTGAGGACCGGTTAGGAGACTATGGCTGGAACTCAAGGGAGAAGCCACGAAGAAAAATGAATTGCTACTACCAGAAGCTCCAAGTCAGCTGGTGAGTGGTGGGGATCAGGGTGCAAACACTCCAGAGAGGGGGTTCAGTACCAACAAAAACCAAGATGGTAGGGACAGTCCCATGCTTGCCTGCCAGAAAGACCTGGGGAGAGCCTGCAGGAGATCAGGCAGGGAGCTGGAAAGGGAAAACTGGATCTGGAAGGGCAGTGTGATATCCCTGGCTCCCCACACTCACCCCTACTCACACCCTTCCTCACTCTTGGTCCCTAAGACTCCTATCAGCTATTGGCTGTGGAGACAGGACTTGGAGGACTATCATTTTGTGTGACTCAGATCTCCGAGTTTCTGAATGTAGAGGTGTGGCACGTCTGTAAACACAGCCCATGACTCTGTGCCTGGCACCCAGCAAGTCCTGGAGACACATTTGCTAAACAAACAAACAAATAAATAAATATGGGAGATGGCCCCAGAGAAACATTGGCTAAATAAATAAACCAATAAATAAGCAAGCATGGAAGATGGGTTTAGGATGTGAGAGTGAGGTCCCCGAGACTGAACATTTCAAGTCTTGCTTTCCTCCCACGTGTATGGGGACTTTTGGCAGGTGCAGGACCCCAGCCATGGTGGCCTTCCTGTTCTGTGGCATGCTTCTGGCAGCCCTTGGCTCTGTCACCTGGACCTTGCCGAATCCTGCGGAGTCCAGCTTTGACTTAGCAGAGATGGGGCCTGACCTGGCTGAGAAGATAAACGAAACTCATGCCAAAGTGTTGGAGATCTGGAAGGAGTTGAGACGGCTGAGGGAGGCGGAAGCCACGGAGATGCACGCAATCTGCCAGGTGCAGCCATCAGCCTCGCTGGCGTCCGATCAGCCGCGGGTCACCGGCCTGGTCCTCTTCAAGCAGCTGTCACCCAGCTCCAGGCTTGAGGCCTTCTTCGATCTGGAGGGCTTCCCCGCCGAGCCAAACGCCTCCAGCCGTGCCATCCACGTGCATCAGTTCGGGGACCTGAGCCAGGGCTGCGAGTCCACCGGGCCTCACTACAACCCGACGGCGGTGCAGCACCCGCGCCACCCGGGCGACTTCGGCAACTTCATGGTGCGCGACGGCCGCCTCTGGAAGCACCGCACCGGCTTGAACGCTTCACTGGCCGGCCCGCACTCGATCTTGGGCCGCGCGGTGGTGGTCCACGCCGGCGAGGATGACATGGGCCGCGGCGGTAACCAGGCCAGCCTGGAGAACGGTAACGCCGGCCGTCGGCTCGCCTGCTGCGTGGTGGGCACCAGCAGCTCCGCCGCCTGGGAGCGTCAGGTACTGGAGCGCAAGAAGCGGCGGCAGGAGAGAGAGTGCAAGACCTCTTAAGCGTCACTCCCGGCAGCAGAGCCCAGCCGTGCCATGCAGAGATGCCTCCACGACCCCCAGTCACCTCTGCGAGCCCCACACGCTTCCTCGCACCCCTGACACCTCTGTATGGCCCCAGGTCTCTTCCTTCCTCCCCCACCGTCACCTCCGCGCTCCCCAGATGTTCCCCACGTGGACCAGACACCGTTCCTCTGTGTCCTAGGACACCTCGAGTGACCCAAGAATCTTTTCGTGCCCTAGGCACTTCTAGAGATGAAGAGCTCCTTCGTGCACCAGATAACTCCCTATGATGGAGGTTCCCTCCGTTCTTGACACTCCACTTTAAGGGCCCTCTGTGTCCCGATAACCACACAAGCCCTTAGCATCCCCTTTGAAACAGTCTTTGAGTCTGTTTGCTTCCCGAGGAAATTCCCCTCCCCCCTGCCGAGATCGCAAATGCTCCGCCACTTTCCTTTCACTCTGATGATCTCCAAGCCAGAACCTTTGAGGGCCCCCAACCCCCCCTACACGGAAATACTCCTCACCCCACTTCCGCTTGCCTTCCTTTTCTTTCCTACCCCCCCTAACACAAGAGACTTCTGTCTTCCCTAGCGACCTCTTCTTTCTTCCTTTTGTTCCTCCTAGGCGCCCTGAGACCACCCTGCACACAAGCCTAGGGTGCCAGGTCTCAGCGCTCCTCCTGCGGTGCCCTGGGTTCTGTTTTCAGCTATTTCCCATAGGGCGCCTGCCCCCCATGGAGAGCAGCTCCTGCGACGGTATTTGGCAACCTTTGTGTTGCACATTAAAAACACAGCAATTCAATCCTACATTGGCCTCGGGTACTTTTTGGAGACTTCTCAGCTCTCTTCTCCTCTCCCCCTAAATATTCCTGGGTCTTTACAGGCCTTCTCCTGCCTCGCTAGTCTTTTAGGGAGAAGGTTCCATCATCAATTGTTATGCCCTTTGGAGGACTGAAGAGTAACAGCCATTCAAGGACATTTAAATGTACTTGTGTGGCTTCTTTACAAAATGATGGAGACACAACCCAGACCCAGAGACTAGGACGGGGAGAAAAAAACCCATCTGCTGTGAAATGAGTCCCAGGCTGGAGGTCCTAGCCTAGAGTGAGGTAAGTGTTGAAGTACCCAGGCATGCCCCGCCCAGATATTAGAGAACAGTCTGTGTACGTCTTCTATCTTTACAGACCCAATCTGAGTATCAGCCCACCTCCCGGCAGGGGCTTCCCAACCTGGCTCAGCAAGGCAGCCTCCACGTCTCCCAGACCTCAGCTGTGAGACATATTGAACCACAGACAGAAACCCTTCCCCGGGGCTGTTTCCCCCAGTCTCCAAAGTTGAAAGTTGTGCAAATGAGATGTCAGTGACATGGGAATCCATGATGGAGGGGAAGAAAGTCCATCTCCAGCCACAACCTCTCCTTTGCTGTCTTGTGACAGCCAACTCAGAACCCTGGGGGAAGCTAGGCTGGGGACCAGCGGGTGCTTCTCATGGCTTGCCTTCTGTTCTCCTTGGGCCCCCGGAACACGCTAGCAGACCCACTCCATAATTATTCTGTCCATTCATGGAATTAGCAAGTATCCTGAACTCCCAGAGCTAAGAAACACTGGGAAAAAACAAGAGTGCACGTTTCAGGTTACTGAAAGAGCCAAGGAATTCTAGTCGGCGTTTTGGACTCATACTGAAAACCTGAGTGAAGCCCAGCTCGGCACATGCTTCCAAGCTGTATGACTTGAACAAATCACAGAACCCACATAAAATCTGGTCGTCACACAGGGTTGTTTTGAAGCCTAATTGGGTGTTTGTGAGGGGTGCTTAGCAGAATATGCATTTTTAATACAGACCCAATTAGTCCATTAACAGCTGCTGCTAAAGGCAGACAAAGCTATCCCTAACAATGGATCCAGACACCTTGTAAGGTATCGAGTGTCTTGCAACTACAAGGATTTCAGTAAAGGAGGGGTTGCCACCTGAGGTTTCTAGGAAACATTTCCACAGCCAATCAACCAGAGGCCATGGGAGATAGCTCTGCCCTTTCAGCTTTAGCGGGGAGGGGACTGAAGGAGAAGATTGGGAGCCATAAGGCAGACATCTGGTTCTTGGCACAAAACCTTGTGTGCCACCAAGACCACCCACTGGACTCTACTTGATCCCTGGCTTCTATTTTTATTTCCTTCATCTTACAGATCTGGCTTATGGATCTGTATATCTTATACAGATCTTATATTTGCTGTTTTGACTTCCTGGCCGGCTTGCTAATCAGTTTGCTGGTTTGACTCACTGGGTTTGCGTTCATTGCCGGGACTTAAACCCACACTTGTTTTGATTTCTTTCTGTAAAATTAGAAGCATTTGATGTAATGGCTGCACCTACCCACAGCTGGTAAGGCAAGAATAATGCTCGATCCCTCATAGCTTACACACAATGAAGACAATAATTAGGGATGCTATCTTTAGATGTTAGGATAAGCTGTTTTTCAGAATGGCAGGGATGTTTTTAATTTTTTTTCTGAGTGGGGCTTATTAATGCATATACATAAAAATACTAAAAAACTTAAGAAAATGGAGCAAATCAGTGAGTGCTTTAGCCAACTTTAAAGCCTGCAGGAAATAAACCGAGTTTAGATCTGCTGTTTAAACAAAATGCATGAAATCTTTACATTCTCCATAGCTTTCACTACTGCTATATGATTAAAGAATTTCAGGTGACAGATTGCAAGGGAGACGTTGCTACAGTATGCTAGAAGCAATGCCCAGCCTGGGCTTGGCCTTGGTAAAGACTGGGGAAGGGTGACACAGATAATGCAGACCATTACTCCTCCAGTCAGCAAAGTTAACACTTTAAAAAAATCATTGCATGTTTGTGAATGATGTGGAGATGAGGGCATGCACTTGCCATGATGCATATGTGGAGCTCAGAGAACAACTTTGTGGGATCCATTACACAGGTTCTGGGCCTTGAACTCTGGTTGCCAGGCTTGTATAGCAATCACCTTTGCTCACTGAGCCATAGAGTCCACCCTCTTTTCCTTTTTCTCCTCCTCCTTCTCTACACGTGCGTGCGTGCGTGTGTGCGTGCGTGCGTGCGTGCGTGTGTGTGTGTGTGTGTGTGTGTGTCTGTGTTTCATACTCTCAAATACCCTGGCTCTGGAGCTCACTGTTTTGGCTAGTCTAGATACCTGACTCCTGAGAGTCTGTCTCTGCCTCCCAGAGGCTTGTATTGCAGGAGGCTGCCACACCCACCCAAATTTCACCTGGATTCGGGAATCCAAACTTTGATCCTCAGCTGCACAGGCAGCTCACAAGCAGCACTGGACCATCTTCCCATCCTCCAGGCTTCTTTACTTCAGGTCACAGTGGCACAAGACCAAGTTCTATGTGACACACGATGATGAAGGAACCCAGTTCACTTCTTTCATTAGACTAAACTACAAAACAGCAAGTATTTTTTTTTTTTATGAGACAGGGTTTCTCTGTATTGTTTTGGAGGCTGTCGGTCCAGCCTGGCCTCGAACTCACAGAGATCCGCCTGCCTCTGCCTCCCTAGTGCTGGGATTAAAGGCGTGCACCACCACTGCCCAGCAACAGCAAGTATTTTTAAAAAGCAGTACCACGTACTTCAGGTAACTTAATGTTGAATGTGTGTGTCCAAGCATGTGTGTGGAGGTCAGAAGACAATCTGAAGTGTTACTCCTCAGGCACAGTCTATTATTTTTGCTGTTTTGAGACAGGGTCTCTCATAGCCCTGGAATTCACTAACTAATTGGGATGCCCATGTCCATTTTGTCTCAATAAACTGGGCTTACAAGCGTGTGCCAGGACCCCTGGATTTTTGTGGTTTTGTTTGTTTTTCCCACTTCAGTACTGGAGCTCAGACTCAATTCCTGCTTAACAAGCAAGCCCTGCACCAAGGGAGCCAAACTGGTCTCAGCTGAGATTTCTTCCCCACACATTCCCAAACTCACACAGACTGGCCAACGTGAAACTTTTCAGTGTTGTGTGGACTTGCCCTACCCAGCCAAAAGAACACATTTAGTGAGAGGTGTAAATTACCCCCATGCTGCGTCATGGTGTTTTGTTTTTGTGCAGCCATACTCTGGAGAGCCCAGGCCTTCTTACTTTCCTTGCTCTTCCCTCTAATTAGATCCTCTCCCGCATTCCTGTTGGCTCTCCCTGATCTTACACTGCTCTCTGTTCAGCTGCCTAGGGGAAAGGACTGCATTAAAGTGTGATTTCGTGGCCACCCTTTGACTTTTGGACAGCCTACCTGCTGCCTCCGGAGGGAGTGTTCAGAATTAGGAAGGAAGGATGCTTCCAAACACACCTTCCAGAATGCTCCAGCAGAGACCTCCAAAGAGGAGGGCAGTACCCAGGCATTCACTGGGCTACACAATGAAGCCAGGGAAGTACCTGGATTTGAGAGGGGAGTTATAGGAAAACAAGAAGAACAATAGCAAGTTGACATTGGAAAGTGACAGACGGGGAAGAATTATATTCATGAGCAAATAAAATGACTTTTTCATGCCAGATAGTAAAGCTGTAGCAGGTAATAAGAATCCACTGTGTGGAATGCCACCAGCGGGGCCCTTTCCAGAGCCTGGCATTGCGATGGATGATGGAGAGTGTTATGGAGTCAAGAAGGAACCTAAAGTAGTTTGGTTGACTTAGGTTAACTGTGGGGAGGAGGCTCTAGCAGGGACCTCCTGGCCAGTGGGGCTCAGAGAGATGCTGAAGAGGGTGACCTGGAGGGGTCATCAAAAGGAGACAGGCAGGGCTTGGGAATGGAGGAAGAAAGGATGGAAAAGGCTGGTTTCTCAAGCACCAATTCATTTCCACACCTAAGGACTAACAGCACAGAAAATGCAGAGTGCAAGCATGTGCTCTTTAAGGACTATCATCTCGGCCTCACCTCTCTACCCTGCGCTCTGTAATCTGCTGGTCAGTTAAGTAATGTGGAAAACTAACAGGACAGACACACGTATGGAGGAAACAAGGGTGGAAGGCAACATGGTAGACCACAGTCAGGGAGGTGAGAGGACATGGTCTTTTCCTAACAACAGATGCTCTCCAGCTTCAGATCCACCGACGTGGTGGACCACAGTCAGGGAGGTGAGAGGACATGGTCTTTTCCTAACAACAGATGCTCTCCAGCTTCAGATCCACCAACGTGGTGGACCACAATCAGGGAGGTGAGAGGACATGGTCTTTTCCTAACAACAGATGCTCTCCAGCTTCAGATCCACCGACGTGGTGGACCACAGTCAGGGAGGTGAGAGGACATGGTCTTTTCCTAACAACAGACGCTCTCCAGCTTCAGATCCACCAGCAGCATAATACCGTGCATTATTAAGGAAGAACAGAAAGATATGTAGGGGTCAAGCCTATTTAATTTCTCATTCTGCTACCTAAGACATGATTTTGTTTTTGTTAGATTCTCTTTCAATGTCTTCATATCTAGGGACAACCCAGAGGGTATACCTTCATGAACCTTTACCCTGTCACAGCAATAATACTTCCTAGCTAGGTGCTTAGACATAGCTGTGTGATATTGTGTGATGAGAAAGTATGACAGAAACCCATTTTCCTTCCCCTTTGCCAGTTAAAACATGTTTATACATACATGGGAGAAATATCCTTGTGTTTTTGAACATGATGTGACAATAGGTGATGTTGGAAACTGTTGCAACCATGAATGCAACTGACTTAAAACAAGCAAAGACCGGAGATGGACACTCAGACCCCTGGAAAATCTTGAATGAAGTAGTACCAAGACACTCAACTTCAGAAGTTCTGGCCATAAAATAGAATTCATTACACTATTGTTTAAGTTTCTCTGACTATGAGCTTTTGCTGGGAATAAAATGACGGAGCAGGATGGTAGAGTTGGGGAGAGGATGCAACAACTAACTCTTAAAAAACCAGAGGAATCCATAATTAGTTGCTGAAACGCTCTTTATTGTCTACAGAGTGAAGAACCATGTTGGGTGGGCACAGCAGAAGTGGGGATGTATGTTGTCATGGTTACGTATGCAACAACATCAACTTATTGGCTCTAATTCCATCTAATAACACAGGTCCCTCCCAGACTGCACACAATGAGCTTGTTATGCAGCCCTCTTATCCTGGCTCCCTAAGGCAGAGACCCTAGGGCTCACTGCAGTTTCTTGCCCTATTAGATTGTGCCAGAGTTTACTATAAACCCCACTCTCCTGAAAGTGATGAATGGCCCCGATGATGTGTACCTGTTGGATGTGTATCCAAACCAGAGTTCTAGGGGGTACAAGTGCTTCATCTGGCTGGTTTTCGCTTGGGACACCTTGTTTCTGGTGTCCTATGGAGCAATACTGACTATATGTAGCCAAACACATACAGCCAGCTGAGGCCCCCAACCAGCAAAAAAGGCACCTTCAAGATTATTGGTCTGTGTTGAACTTGCAACTTCAGGGCCTCCTCCTTTATGGGGCTGGCCTTCATGAGGAGGGGACAAAGGGATAAACAGAGTATTGGGGCCATGTCTGAAGGTATGTCCTTGTCCCCAGGAGTCCCAGGGCACAGACAGGTTTTAGGGTAAATGGGAACACGTGCTATCCCTGAGCTTCCCTTTCTAGCTGAAGTTTCCGAGATCAATCCTGGCTTTCACAGGTGGTATGAGCGTGGGGATCCCAGCCACCCCACACACCTAGGTACATAAACTGAACTCAGTGGCCTGTGAATCTCTGTAGCTCATCTTCACTCTGAGGAAGCAGCAGGCAGGCGGGCTACTCCCTCTTGGACCTTACACTTGGTGTATAGTTCCTTCGTGGTCAAGGCTGTAATGAATTCATCTTTTCTCCTTCCCTATTAGGCCACAACTTCAGAATCCCATGTTCAAACTCCAGTCCCTGGTGGCCCAGACACAACATTCTGTTGATGGAGTGAGTGGTTCAGGGTTTCAGGTGGTATAGGAAAATGGGATGAGGCTAAGCAGCCAGCTTTGCCCAGACCCCAAATACCCACATCATCAGCTACTGTTTCTGATATCATCTAAACAACAATAAGAACAGCCACAAAAACAAAAGGTCAGAATACCACTAGAAAGTCCCTCCTCCGGGCAGCTCCCTGTTATCCGTCCCTCCAGGCCAGCGAAAGCTCCAGACCATTCTAGAACACTCAGATCTGTACTCAGTCAGCAAACAGCCTCTTTAACCTACAGCCCAACTTTCCCAGCCTGCTCTGGTCCCTCCCACCTGCCACTGTGAAACACTGGGTGCCAAGAACACCCATTTCTGAGGGATCTTCAGACAAAGTGCAGCCATGGCCCCATGAAGACATTTCATCCAATTACATCTTTCTTTCTAGCCATCCAGTTACTTCCAAGACTGAGATCTAGGGCAAAACCCCCAAAAACAAAAAACAAAACCCTTCCTTTCTCAGCTTGTCCCATCATTTTGATGGACAACATTAAATGCTAATAGAAAAACATCTTCTCTCTAATAAAACAAATGCTGACAGCCAGAGGATGTGGAAAGGCAGCCATATGGCAACTCGGATTCCTGTGCCCGGCCATGTTCACAGCGGCATGTCTTCGGCAGACAGAGGTGACACCGAGAGGCTCACAGACCAGCATTTAATAAATCAGACAGAGTCAGCACCATTGGGTGCTCCCAGCTTGTAGCAGGATCGGAGCATTTTCTCATTTGCAGACAGGAAGGTGTTTTAGCGGAAAGGGGTTGGATGCCTGTCCCGAAGCTTCAGCCTTTCCTCACTGTCCCTGGTGCCTTCATTGTGTCACCGTGTCAGTCTCTCTTCCCCTCAGGTTTGCACCCTGCTTCTCATGTCTCCGCTCTCCGAGATCCCGCTGTCAGCTTCCACACTAGATGCTTTGGCTTCTGGCTGCATGGAAGACAAGTGTTCCTGGACCTGAGTTGTGGTACACTCTTCCTGGGAGGCCAGGCTAGGTGGGGACAGGCCCGGCTCACATCTCTGTTCTTCCATGGGAGGCTCCCTTGGGATCTCCTCCAGGTGTGTAGCCTCCTGTCCATCGGTCAGTTGAACAGTCCCCTTTCCCATGGTGTTTGCTTCCTCTGAAGGGAGCTGGGGTAACGGAGGGTGATGAAAGTGCGAGCACTGGTTCCTATTGCTCGGCTGTGTTGGGGAGCTGACAGCAGGCTTCCCCGCATCCTCGGGCACTGTCAACGCCTCGGCAGCTGCACAGCTTTCATCGGGCTCCTGCTTCTGAATCTCCCCTGAAAACGACAAGGGACAGCATCAACCCTCTGGCAGCAGGTTGGCCGCACCTTTCTCTCCTGTCAACTCCCACCCAGCCACCTGCCCATGGCCTTTAAGAACCAATGACTAATTACTCTGCCCTCTTCCAGGCAGGGCACTGGAGCTCAGGGGATGAAGGACCCATGTTTAGAAGCCAAGAAAGCACCTTTTTCAAGCGTCTCCCTTATTGTCAAGGGGCCTCCTAATGTCCATGGAAGACTAAGTCTGAGGACAACAGTGTTCCTTTGGAAGTTGTAGGGATACCTAAGCACTTAGAGGCAGAGATTCCAGCTGCCTTCAGAGCAGGAGGAGAGTTTGGGGAGAGTTGGTGTCATTCCCACTCTCATTCTCCCTGTCTAAGGGAAATACACCATGTTTGCCCAGCTTCAGATAAAAGGCTATGTGCAAACAGTTTCTATCTCCCTCCTCAGCGCTGGACTCTTAGCCTTAAATACCTCTATCAATCAGAAACTCTAGAGGTGCAAAGCAGGAGGGATGAGCACTGGGGATGAGCACCGGATGCTGTCACCTTGTCCCCATTTCCCTATTCACTTGCTTTATGATCACAACTTGTCTGGCTCAGTTTCTTAGGTAAGTGAAAGAGAGGACTCTAATGCCCCTCCCTAACTTAGTAATGATGGCATTGTGTGACCAGGGAAGAGTAAACAGCTCCTAGTACCAGGACATGTGCATTTAATACTAGGCTGTGAGTTTCCCATAAGACAGTGTGCTCTAGGACCTAGGAAAAACAGTGATGAAGGAAGGACAGGGCAGATGCAAATCTGGGTGAGTCTAGATTGAGCATAGGTGTGGGTGTAAACCCGAAGATCTTAGGAATACTACCTGGTACTCCTGATTGGAACCGCAGTAAAACAACAAACAATATAGTCAGGCCTGCCACCAGTCACGTACAGGGATGCTCTTGGGCTGACTGCTGGTTGGGGGATTTAGACTGTGGAAGATTGGCAGGTGGCAGAACACATATTCCTTCCATTTTCCCACATCACACCTTTTGAGGGAGCCTTGCTGATTCCAGGTCAGTTCTGACACTGTTCAGTTTTGTTCTGTTTGCTTGTTTTAAGGTCCTACTCGTCAGGTCCTGATGACCCATTATGCTGTCTTAGTTTCCGAGGTTGGCTCACATACATGTAACCTTCCAGCTGTGTGACATACCTGTGATAGGTTTATTGTCAACTTGTCTGGGACTTGGAAGATACACCATCCATGTGCTTGTGGGGCCTCTTCAGAGAGGACTGACGTGTGGGATAGTGACTGGAAAGGCGAGACCTGACCGGAACGTAGGAGGCACCTTCCAGCTGCCAGACCAGATAATAATCAGAGTCTGAGGAAGGCATTCTGGTGGGAGTTGCAGCTTACATCAGCTGATAGCAGGCTCTCCAGCACAGAGTAAACACCAGCAACTCTCTGGAAACTTCCAGGCATTTCAGCTCCGGGCTGGGACTACTTGGTGCACTCTGCACCAAGAACCTGGTCCTCTGCCTGTCTGCTGTTGGACTACCAGTTCCTATAGTCTAGTAAAGCCTATCCAATAATCCCTCTATCGTTTACATATGGATCTTTTCTTGGTTCTGCTCCCTAGAAAACCCTTCCTAACACTATACCCCTTAGTTCTCTGCACAAACAATTCTGTTTCCTCCAGCTCTAAAGTGCTGGCCAGCTAGGACTTACTGTGTACGCCTTACTGCTAGGAGCTAGCTGCTCTACAGACATGACGTACTTCATCTTGTCAAACTTTGGTCCATGAGATCGGGAGCCTCAACTGACTCATCAACAGTGTCTGAACATTCAAGAACATTTTAAAACAGAATTCAACTTTTATTTTGAGTAGAAATACAACATATGTGGGGAGGACTGGAGAGGCCTGTCATTACTATAACAGACACTGAGGAAATCAACTTAAAAAACGAGGCATGACATGTGTTGGGGTGGGGTGTTAGTGAGGATTGAACCTAGGCTCTTACACAAGCTAGGCAATCTCTCTACCGCTGAGCCACATCCCCAGCTCTTGGATTTTGGCTCACAGTGCCCTAAGGGCACTAGCCCATGATAAGCTGTCATTGCTTTGTGCCAGGCAGCATGGTGTAGTAGAAACACAGGATGAAACAAACAAGTTCACCTGGGACCAGGAAGGAATATAAAACAGTGATGGGGATCGGTCCCACCAGCCTCTTCGAGGTGTGCCCAAATGCTTGATGACATTGTTCTAGACCCCACCTCATAATCGTTCCACCGTTTCCCTTTCCCGATTTTATTAATGTCCTGGGTCTGTCTCCAACTCCTCCTTTGTGAGGTCTGTAGGCTCAGATCCTACCTTCTCCGTTCAGCCCCCCTCTGTCTCCTCTGTGGCGGGTGTTTCCACCAGACACAGCCTTCCCCCTGCCTGCCTCTGCTTGCGGTTTCTGGAATAGCAGTTTCCTTCTGTTTCCAGGCTACTACTGGGTGCACACAGATTAATGTCATGTTTTGTGTCTTGTAAAGAATGACCACCAACTTAGTGGCTTTAAAACACACATGTATTTTCTTCCAGAAAGTCAGATGTCCTCAGTCTGTCTCCTGGGCAGATCAGGAGCACAGTCCCTGGGCGACTCTAGGGCACATTTCATTCTTCACTTTCTCCAGATTTTGGTGACTTCTTGGTTTGTGGCAAAATTCTTCCAATGCCCCTCTCCTCAGACACATCACCTGGCTTATCTATGGGGGCCATGCCTCTCTTTTGCCTCCATCTTGTGAGGTGATCTATTTAGGATCCATCTGTATAATCCAGGATCTTCTCACCTTACTACCCATAGATGAATCCCATCTTCAAAGTACGTTCATCATGGGGATAAGGCCAATGGGTCCATTGGAAACCCCTGAGAACATCCTTTAGTCCTCTACATAATATACCCTCTGTATGTTCTTTGTTGACCTGTTGTCTATTCCTGCCTCTCTGAGGATACCTTCCTAGGCATCTCTCTTTCTTCTTCTTTCTTCATTCCATTCAGTTATTGGCAATCTAACTCCTGCCCATGAGGACATCCCTCATGCCTGCTCATCATGTTTCCCATAGGAGATGTAGACTCAGGATTCTAGAGTCCAGTTGGACCCACCCAAGCCCAGCCCTACTACCTGCCTGGAGACTGCTGTTACATTCTAGAAATGCTTCCCCCCACCACACACACATACACACGTACACACGCATGCACGCACACATGCACTCACACACCCACACACACATGCACTCACACACCCACACACACATGCACTCACACACGCGCGCCTCCTCTCATTAGCCATATCTGCACTTCTTTGTGATCACACGGACTTCAGGACTTCAGACTTCATAGCCACATGAGTGTGTGTCCTTATCTTTTTCACCATTTGAGAAGTGTAAAGTCCCAGCTCTGTCCTTTAGCACTGCAGATGGAATCCTGTGTCTCTCCAGATTTGTGGGTTGAATCCACCTCCCCAATTCCAAAGGGAGCATTTGGAGGTGAGACTTTGGGAGAGGTTATGGATATGGCTAACTCATCTCATAGGAAGAGGAGATCAGAGCCTTCTCTTTTTCCAGCATGTGAGCACACAGCCAAGAGGGAAAAGAGCCCCCATCAGACACAGAGTGTACTGACACCATGACCCTCACAGCCTTCAAAACTGTACTCACTACACAATGCGGCCGGATTGCTCAGCTCTGTTCTACAAACCCATGATGACGGAGACTCAGGGAGATGCCTCTGGCAGCTCTCACACTCATCCTTCCCTGGCATCAGTTGTGCCTTGGCTGTCTAAAGCCTCTCTGCACCAACCTTTCTGGGTTCAGGGACATGTGTCCCTTGCATCTCAACAAACAGGTAAGTGACACAGGAAACAAGGGTACCCAGCCCTGGATTTCAGACAGGTGCCAGATATGTTAACTGTGTATGAGGATAAAACACAGGTCTGAGAGGATTCCTTCTTCACATTAGACATGTTATATATTTTAAAACACAAACTACATAGTTGGAAATGTTAGGTAAGCTATATCATGAAAAGTAGGTATAGTCTGATAAGACTGAGCTAAAAATGCAGCTTAGAATTTCATTTTAACACAATGCATGAAAGTATTGATGGATATGAGTGGTAAGGGGTAGGAATTTTGAATACATCTATTTAATTAAATACATATTTATTTGGGGGCATTTAGTTACCCAGTATGCATTTAAAGGTTTAAGAAACTTTGAAGTAGCTGTAAGGTTGACAGAATCTATTTGTAGATTTCAAAACAGTTGGTAGAGAGGCTTTTTCTTGTCCCTAACACCTAAAGCATGGCAATATCTGAGGTGGTGAATATACCAACTGCTCTGATTTGGTCTTTATGCATTATATCCAAGTGTGACATGTCACATGGCATCCCATAAGTCATAACTAAGTACAGTCATTATGTGTCAGTTTAAAATATTTTTTAAATGCCTGAACCCTAGCTAAAGCAGAACTGAAGAGCCCCAGAAAGAAAACTGAGTCAGGCACTCTTCAAGGCTTAAGTGATACCACCAAGATGAAGAGGATGGCTGGCATAGAAGGAAATGATGCTGTGGGGGGTAAACACACTAGAGTCACCAGGAGGGGATGATGGGCTTCACCTGAGCAGGGCAAGCATTGCCTCTTGTCCCCAAACTTCTTCCATCTAGTTCTCCTGATACCAATTTGATTTTTTTTTTCACATTAAAGAAGCCATCTCATTTTCCTCAGCCTTTTGGATAACCACAGAGGACTCTAAAGACAGACTCTTCACCAATTTTTTTCCTCTCTCATTTTCAAGTCTATGTATTCAGTCATGGACACCTTGGGTCACTCTTCTCTGCAAGTCTCATCCTGGAAAACAAACCCAGAACTTGTCCTTACAGTGAAATGCATGAACATATATATGGGTAAAGCAAGCCTGGACTTGAAAAAAAATGCCTGCTGTGATCTGTTCAACAGAGGTAACAGTGTGTGCTATCATCCCCAAGAGAGTCATGCTCCAATCCACCTGCCACACCAGGGTCCTCCCTACATCTTTGCCATTCTGATTGGGTCTATGGACTTGCACCTGGGAGCTTGTCAGAGCCGCAGGGTCTTAGGCTCCACCCCGCATCTACTGGTTTCAGAATGCCTACTCATAAGGTCCCAGGTGATGGGGGTTCCCATTATAGTGTGAGAAGCACTGGGACCTTGATGCACAAATCTCTCCGTGTCTTCCTCCACATGGAAAACCTTCAAAGGCTTCAGATTCTGGGGAACACAGCCCAAGCTTGCAACCGAGTGTTCGTGCATTTATGAGCCAATACCCATTTCTCTTTGTATCTGACATCCCAGCTCCACTCCTTGTATTCCTCCATCCAGCTACATCCGCCCCTTTTAGTACTTTAGTCTTCCTCGGGGCCTTTGTTGATTCCCCTTGTCCCTGGAGCTCTCATCCCCTTCTCCATTCCAAAGGGAGCCTTAGGGGGCAGCCAAGCCCCCACCTTCTCCATGACAATTAAATCTGGCCACAAGCTCTATTCTTAGTTATGGCTTCCCACGAGGCGGCCTAGACCTCCTTTTTTCCCCACCTCAGATTGTTACTTATAACTAACTACCTTAAGTACAAAGTCTTGCCTGATTAATTTTTTAACTTTGCCAATGTTCTATGGCAAAGACTCAATAAATAACTTACTAAGTGCTTGAATATATGGACTTATACATGTATTCATGAAAAAGTGAATCTATTAGCATACATCCTAAATACCATGCATCACTTTGTGAAGGAAACTTAAATTTATAGTATTCATTTTAGGGTATATTCAGGTAACTACCCTAAAACTTCTCAAAATGGTACTTTCTGAGAAGCGATAGAGATATCTAACTCCTACAAATATTTGGCTACATCCAAGGCAGCTCGGGGAAGTGATCACATCAATTTCCAACTAACAAATGAAAATTCTTACAGTGGTTGTAGAGGGACGCGTGAAACACTGAGTCAACACTGATCACGCTCCCAGCAGAGAGGGGAAGCGTTATTCAAAGGGAGCGAATTATGGTGTTTCCTACAGCTACATTTTTCACCAGTGTGAGATGAATAAACTCCTTCTGGAAATTACTCTCATGAAATTACTTCTCCTGAGACAGTTAATAGTAGATTCTGGTGCCCCCGAAAAATTAATTAACCTTCCTCAGAACAACCTCACCCCTAAACCATTGGCAGTGTGTCTTTACCGTGGGTCAGCTGAGACCTTTGCCTCCCTCATTTACATCTAAGGGAAGCTGGTCTAAATTATGCCAGGGTCTTTTGGTTGCTGGTGCTATTTCCTCGTATGATATTCCAATTCCGTCTCGATGTGTGAATCTTGTCACCATCCATCTCTCCCCTCCTCACCCCTTCTCCTCCTCTTCTCCCTTCTCCTTCTCTACCCCCTCCTATTGTAATGAAAAGCCTTTGAGGTTACCAGGGAAACATTTTTATTTTAAACTTTTGCTCAGGGGATGACAGGAGGTCCCACTGTCATCAGAGCAGCCACAGCAAGGAGATAATGGACACCCAAAAAGGATGAGGGACTCCAGGAGAAGAAGACGATGGACACTAGTTGTGGTTCTGCTGTCTGCTCCTATTTACTTTGCTGGACAGCACATATTGGGACCAGAAACAATATAGGTTCTAGAAACAGACATTGTAGGTACAGCAGGATTTTGTGTTTATCTAGAGGGCACTCAAGCAGCATGCTTAAGTCAATTATCAGTACACACAGAAAACTTCTTAAACATGTGACAGCTGTCATGTCTTCACTAGGATCTCTGATCCTTTGCTATGGGAACCAAACCTCTTTGAATGCTAAGATTCAGGGTGTTAACTCTTAAGCCAGCCATGGGAAGCTTTGCTTTTACTTTAATTACAGACTCACAACACTGACATTTCCATAAAAGACTTATGAATTAGCCAAAAGTTGGGAAATATTATTGCAAATAATAGTAATTATTCTGGGCTGCTGTCACAAACAGAATTAATATCATTAATACTAATTAGTCACAATACACATATCAATAAGGACGAGGCAAATGCTTCATGACACAGTGGGAAGAAAAATATTGTTTCTTTTTCTCTAAAAGATGAAAAAGAAATAGTGTTGTAGAAAATATTGTTAGTCCCCCAAAAATGTATCCCCCACTCTCAGGCCCAAGAGGGACATTTGTCATCTTTTGTTGGCTGGCTGGCTTTGTTGTCCTCCCGCATGTGGCAGCTTTCAGTTGGAATTAATCAGGCCACAGCAGTGATGAGGCCATTGGGACACTGACAGCCTCTCAGAGAGCATGTCCTTGTTCCCACCCAGAGCTGGCTCAGGATAGACAGGAACAATGCGCGCTGATGAAGGAACTCTGGAAGCTATCATTCTGAATCAGTCCCTCACCCATGCTGCCCTTGTGAAGATCAAGACAGCTCCTTCCAGTACAGTAGGCCCAGGCCACCCAGAATAGTCAGAGGCTTTGGCGCCCCACCAGGACACAGGCTGCCAGCATGCCATGACCACTAGCCACAATACAAGGCCACAATGTACTGGAGGCCGGCATTGCAAAGAGCACATGCTACAGGCTATGACGATCCAGTTTTGCTTTCTGGCCAGTGTGGATTCACCAGGCTAATAATGCTCTGAGTTCTAAGTTGTGAGCTGGCCGGCTTCACAGTACAAGCTAATGATAGAGCTGGTCAGCCCATCTTGCTAAAGGGTTGTTCAGTCATCAGGGGAGGAGGGTGGGCTAGATCACACGGTAGAGCTGAGATGTTAAGTCAAGACAGCTAAGTGTAACTTGGAAACTCTGAGCAGGGTGAAAATGGGACAGCAAGGTATCACTGTGGGTTGATCCTACAGCTGATGCATGAGGATGGGAACTGAGCAAGGACAGGTCACATGGTGGGGACCTTCAAATGACACAGTGAGCGCCCAGATTGAGCCACAAGTGGGAGGCCCAAGAAACCCCCGAAGAAGGACTTTGGCTGTGTGGATAGGGAAGAAATACTGACAGGAGTCAATGACTATAAGGTTTCAAGCCTGAGTCACAAAAGAAAAGAAAAAAAAAGAAAGAGGAAGCAGGAAGAACTGGTGATGTCACGCCAAAGAAGCCCACAGACTGCTGGGAAAGTTCAGGATCTAAAATAAATTGTAGCTGCAAATATAAATAGAAGTATGTGAGTGGGTGTGTAGGTATGTTTATGTGTGGTGTGGTGTGTGTGTGTGTGTGTGTGTGTGTGTGTGTGTGTGTGTGTGTGTGTGTGTATGTAGGTATGGGGTGAGGATGTCTTTATGGAATCGCACAGTAGTTGTAGAATGAGGTGTTGCTGGCATTGACATTCACTCTGTAGAGAGTGCTGACAGAAAGAGAGAGCAGACCTGAGAGACACTTACCGTCCCTGGTGCTCTCCTTGTTCTCAGTGGGCTGTTCCACAAACTTCAACAGTGGGGACCTTGACCTCTGTATGGTGGGAAGAGTCTGGTCAGTGAACAGTATAGTGTCCTTGCCCCCTATGAGGAAGATGGAAAAGTTGGCTTGTCAGTCACTGGTTTAGCTGGGTAACATTTACAACCTACCACAGTTTTCATTGTTAACTCGATACACTGCGAAATTGCCTGGGAAGAGTCTCAATGAGCTGTTGCCTTGATCAGGCTGGCCTCTGAGGTATTGTTTTGACTACACTAATTGAGGTGGGAAGACCAGCCCATTGTGGGTGGCATCACTCCCTAGTCAGGGGATTTGGACCATGTAAAAGAAAATGAGCTGAGCATAAGCATGCACACAGCCTTCCTCTGCCCTTAAATGGGGATATGACTAGATGGCTTGAAGTTCCTGCCATCTTGGCTTCCCCACAATCTAGAATTGTAAGCACCCTTACTCTCCTAAAATGAAACTACGACACTCTTGCACAATGAGCCAGCTATTTGGTTAAGGAAACTCCTTCAGTTGTAGGCAGTACAAGTAACATGGTCAGCAGATCTTTCTCTAGTGTGTGGATAGAGCACGGATCTTCCATCCACGATAGAAGACCTTTACTCATTCCCCAGTGGCTGCTCTGAAACAGCTGTCCACAAGTGCTGCCAGTAAAGGGAAGCCTGCATGGTTTCGAAGAACTGAGCAGTTGGCTGGGACAACAGTAGCGGTAGCAGCAGGAAGCTTGGGAGGGACACTACATTAGTGGTGCTCTGGACATAATCACCTGCTCACTGGGTGACAGCGAGGGTGTCACTTTCCCTCTCTAAACGTTGAATTTCTCATCGTGGGCAGTTGTAAAGAAGAAATGAAATGGTCAGGAAAAGGCCTTGGGTGTTTAGAAAGTATTCAGCAAACGTTATGTGCTGAAATCATCAGCACAGGCTCCCACTCACCTGATAAATGTCCCAGTTGCATCTGGTCATGTTAACTATGGGACTGTCACAAAGCAGGTGGTGTCAGGTCCTCCACATTACCTTAGCTGTATTACCATTTAGAACATACACTCAGCTTAACCTACGACCTATCAGTGTGAGCTCCCCTAAGAGGGTAGAGAGGTGTGGAGCGGATGAGAAGGCGGGAGAAAGGGCACCACATCTGCATTGCACAAGGCAGAATGGGTCATACAGATGAGCAGCAGTGGGGAGCAGCTTCACACGTAAGCATGACAAACAGACACACTGGCACCAAATGCATGGACGAACAGTGCCATTATGAGGTTGCAAGAGTCCATAGGCATGCTATGATGCCAAGTCTGGGCTTGAAAGGCTTAAGGGTTCTCTGGGTGGAAACCATTGGGCCGGAAACAAAAACTGCAAGGTCATGAGACCAGGTTGGATTCCACTCTGGCCTCGAGTAAGATTTTCACTGAAAGTCCACGATTTTACTTGTTCTCCCATTCATCAGAGCCCAGAAGGCCACTTGGGTAAAAATAGATATCTTCACCTCCTTTGGAGAACCAAATAAAGTCAAGTACTGTGCTCCTTTGTCCCTCCTGCTTTTCAGAAAACTATCTTATTAATTTGTGTTAGAGAGTCCTCCACACAGCAGGTACTTGCTAAATGCCTGATAAGGTCTGTGTTGCCAACTGAAGTGTCTAATGGATCCTGGAATCTGGCATGCTTGGCACCTGCTGCCATCTTGGGCAAACGGCAAGTGATTGGTTCAATAGTCTTTGGATTCTCTGTCTCCTGAGTGTCAGGCCAGCTGAGAAACTGCTTGGAACTGACCCTGAGGTTCTGCTAGACACATCCACTGTCTCTGGTGGAATAAATCTAGAAACTTCGGTGCTACCATCTAGAAAGGTTTCCCAAAGAGCACTGTGGCTTTCTGGTTCAGGGTAATATGGGATGTCCTCAGAATGACATCCACAGTTGGTCCCCTTCTAGAGTGCAATCTGGAAATGCCTTCATGAATTCCTGGTTACTGGCTTTAGGAACCCTAACAGGCAATAGGAGTCTTGTGGTAGACTTCTTTCCCTTATCTCCACAGCAGCACAGTCCATCCACAAGCCAAGGTCAGGACTGCATCTCATGCCCATCTATCTCCAGCATGTAAACTGTCAAATACGTTTACTCTCCAGAAAGATCACAAATTGACTCCAAGTCTAGCAACCACTGTTAAAATCTCTATAATGGGAGTGGTATATCTAACTTATTGGTAGCAAGCTTGTCTAGCTGTATGTGTTCTTGGATTCAATCCACAGCACTAATGAACACGGTGTGATAGTGAGTGCCTGCGATGCTAACACTTGGAGATAGAGGGAGGAGGATCAGAAGTTCAAGGTCATCCAAAGCTACCACAACAAGTCCAAGGCCAGACTGGGCTCCATGAGACTGACTCACAAAAATAAAACAAAGTGAAACTAGATGGTTCTGGTCAGGAGAGGGAAAAGGGGAAAGAGGAGACTCACAAAGCCTTCTGCCCTATGAATTCTTTCCCACAGCCCACAGATGTTTTTCTGCCTTCTGGATTCCTCCTCTCTGGTCTAGAACCCAGTATCCACTTACATCATTTGCCTATGCATCTTGGCTCAGAACTGTGGTCACTCAGCATCCATAAAAGATGCATGAAACTCACGAACCTAATACCATCTTCTATGACCTATGTGTCATCTAACTTCCCCCTCCCCCATTTCCTGTTCTAAAATGAGTATATCAGACTAGCTTAGGAAAGGGGAAAGTGTTCTTCCACATGTCAGCTCTAACGACACGTCCATATTGGATGTTGGCCAACATATTGGAAGACTGCTGCCACATCAGCAAGGGAAAATGCTGTGATAGATTAGCAATGTCTGTCACTAGCGTGAGAATGGAGTACATAATACACACCGAGTATTTGTTACCCTGAAGTTTTTTGTTCTTAACTGTTTCGAACGCTACCCATCATCTCCCTAGTGCTTCTATCTTGGTCACCTGTGCAGCACTAAACCCTCAATACTTTGTCTTCTGCGTCACTGCTTAATGGAGATTCTTCTTACTTCCTTAGGTAGACTATAGGTTCATGGGGAGCGGGGGCACATTGGCTTGCCATGGTATTCATAAAGCTGAAGCTCAAAATAGGTACCGGCCCATGGATAAAGTGACTTATATTGGAGAAGACTTCGCTTGTTCCCTTTGAGATGCTGGCAAATAAGACAATTCTCTGAAGCCAATAGGACTCAGCACCTTCCATCGTGATTTAGCTACTGCCTGGGGAGAGGATGAGAAAGAAGAACGGAGGAGGGAGAACACATTGCTTCTTGCTCAGCCCTGTGGTAGGTTAAATGGAGACATGTAAAATCAGGAGGAAGGGCACTGCTGTGACTCAGACAGGAAGAGCCACCCCACTCCCTGTCCTTTCTCTCCAGGACTGCAAACACCCAAGTCGAAGCTACATCCACACATCCCTTCGCTCATGCCCCAAAGCAAGGCTGTTGCAATGACAAAAACTATATCCAAAGGGGAAAGTGCCACCCCCTGTCCTGTGGCCCCATTTGCATCCGTGTGGTGGCCAGAAACTAGAACCCCTATGCCCACAGCATTAAACCCACTGAGGCTAGTCCTTCAAGCAAACAGCACTCACAAATGTTTGCTTTACACTAACTGGGTTCCCTATTTCAGTAAGCTATTTTATCTAGAAAGTTCACAGAAAGGTAGACAGCAAATTTCTACAATTCACATACACAGATGGTAGAATGTGTTCCCAATTTAGCCACAAGAAGCCCCAAATATTTGAAAATGAACATACTCCCAAATCCAACTGAAACATTGTAGCTCAGGCCTTCGGCAGCAAAAAGAAGGAAAAAACAGTCATTATTGCAGAACAGCCATTTGAAGTCCCACCTGACCAAACAAATACCAGACACAGGAAATTCCCAGCATTGATTCACCCATTCAGCTGCCATCTTTTTACATAAATCACACAAATGAAACAGTGAGAAAATTCACAAAGTCATTCTGAGCGAGGGGGGAAAAAAAAAACCAAAGCTTTGGTACATGCACAAAAACAGCAATTTGACTGCACAAATAAATGACAAATTTGTCTGTCTGCGCTGAAATTCAATGCAGTGAAAGAAAGGCCTCCACAGAAGCTGAGGTTTGAACATTATCAAAAGTGGCTGATGCAAAAGGACCATTCAAATCCCCAGGACGGCACTCGCCACTAATTAGTTCTGTGAGGTCTTTTGACATCCAGTTCAAGGAATCTCTGTGAAAAATTCCAATTTATGAAACACACTCGCAGGCAACCTAAGGCAGCTATTCAGATTTCCACCAAGGAAAACGTGATGTTGTCCACCTCCTCTCCCGGGGCAATTTTCATTTCTCATCCGTACAGGAATGCAGCCCACAGGAGCCGAGGGAAGAGACTGCTCCGCACTGAAAGGGTAAGGCACTAAAAATACCCGGACAATGTTCCTTCCAGGGAACCAGGAGGCGGCAGAAAATGATAAATATAAGTTTCCAAACAGCGTAAAGACAAGGCGAAGAACTGACGGGGTCTCCTGAGAGGGGTATTTTACTGGGATAAACGGGATAAGTATAGCTCATTAGAAAGAATCACCACGGCTTCTCTCACATTGGACAAACGTGGGGAGAAAAATCTCCTCAGGAAATTTTTGTTTTCAAGCTACATAAAACTGCTGGGAGGGGGAAGGCAGGAGAAGGTGGTTGTGAAGTACATCTGGGTTGGAGAAATTGTTGGCGCTTCAGTTTTAGTACTGGTGATTACACTGAACAAATCTTTGTGTGGTTTTACATTCCATTTTAGGGCTGATGATTAAATTGCACAAATCTTTGTAAGATCTGATATCCGGTTTTTAGGACTGGTGATTACACTGAGCAAATCTTTGTATATTCTCCCATTCGTTTTAGGAGGGAAGGTTACATGGAACAAATATTGATGACTACTGATAAGAAATGAAACAACTCATGGGCTTTTGCACACACACACACACACACACACACACACACACACACACACACACATACACACACTGGTTTGAGAAGTTAGGCTACCTAAACTTCAGTGCCCCACTGATGAGATTTTGAAAATTTATTGTCTATTTCTCAATTTTTCCCTTCCATGGACCTGCCATTGTGTGATTTCTCAATTTGAAACATTTGTGAGTTGTTTCTTAATGGTCTCCAATCAAAGGGCCTCAAACAGGCAGAATATTGTTGCAAATTGTGTGAGAGAGGTCTTTTAAAAAGTGAACAAAATTCTAAATAAGAAGAAAGACAAGAAAAAAGCCACACCGTTCAGTTTCTGCTTACCTGGAAGACTCCACAGACCAGACACTTCCAGAGTTCTTAGCTTTTTCTCCAGCTCTGACACTCGATTCCCTAGGATCCTGGAAAAGGCAGGAAGAGGAGACTGCGTTACCTGTCAGTGCTTAGGCCCGGGTGGTAGCTAATGGGGGAGTTGATAGATTTAAGAAAGGTGCTAAAAATAGATGAGTGGGTACACGTGAACACGATACACAATGTATTGGAAGTTCATGTGGAACTTGAAAATCAATGGGAAATGAAGTGAAACACACACACACAGACACACAGACATACAAAGACACACAGACGTACAAAGACACACAGACATACAGACACACACACACACAGACATACAAAGACACACACACACAGACACACACACACACACAGACACACACACACACACACACACACACACACACACACACACTGACTATTCAGTTGAGTTCTGTTCCACAAGGCAATTCCCTGGATGTTAAACAATTATTTAGCACTGCCCAAAACATCATAAGGAATTCTCATTTGAGAACTGTTCATTGCTAAAGATGACAATTGATTTCGAATGTCCTTAGTAGCAGCAGACCCTCATTCTGGAACCAGTAGGTAAGATAGAGGGGCAGACTTGGAAATGTTTCTTCCGAGGCACTAAAGTAAAAAGATCAGCTTCTGAAGACCAACACTACCTCTTCTGATGCTGATGCCCTAGATATCAAGAACAATGTCTAATGCAGCGTAGGTGGCCAAAAAAAAAGAAGTGTGTGATTAAACACAGGCTTTTTCTTTTTTCACAATCTGCAATCGTCTATGGAAAAGGTGAATGATAAGAATTTCAAAAGAGTTTTCAGTGGGACTATGAGATAGCTCTGCAGGTGAAGGCATCTGCTGGCAAGCTTGACAATCTAAGTTCGAACCCCAGGACCCACACAATGGAAGGCGAGAACCAACTTTTGCCAGTTTTCCTCTGCTCTCCACACACCAGACATGGCACATGTGCACCCTACTCCCAATGCACGTAAGTAAATAATCTTAAAATGAATTTTCAGTGATTTGGGAACCACTACGATAATGAGGTTGTTTTCCAAATGACCGTTCGCCTCACTGAAATGTGTAGTAGAAAAGATCAGACAGTGTGCTTAAAAGGCAGGCTTTGTGTAGATGCATAGGTAAACATCCATTTGTTCTCCCCAGACTTTAAACATAGCTGAGACATGATTAACTCTCATCTAAAACCTTGCTTTCCAGTGGTCTGGAATTGGAAACCAGTCTTTTATTTTTATTTGGGGGATTTTCTTGGCACTGCTGTGCTGAAATGACATGAAAATCTCCTTAATAGCAAATTCTCAATTCCTTTCAGTGGGGAAAAATTAGAGCAGCAAAATTATTCTCCTACGTCTCTTTCTATTCCAGAGATAGCTGCACACACCCACATACATTCAGAGCCATGAATATGCATATAGCTGCACACATATACAGCTCGGTTCATCCAGATTTTACCTGAATCGACCTGCAGCATCTTAATCCTCCCCTGGAGTTCACAGGGGAACTGGCATTGATCTACATGACTTCCTACACCTAGTCACTACAGCCCGTCTCTCCCTCTTTTCCTCATGTCTTGCACTCTGCATGGTGCTCATCAACTACTTCAATCTCGCACCATCTGTTGGGTCTGTTTTGCTTTCACGCCCTTGACCTTCCATAAACGCCCTTGTTCCTCATCTGCTTTTCAATATTTCGCCCAGAGCTTCTGATCCCAGCTCTCTTCCTCACAGTTGATGGGTCTGACAGGCAATCACAACAGTGCTTTCGCTTGTTTCTTAATGAGATCACATGTCTGCAGCTGCCTCTTAGGACAAAGGCTAAGGCTTCATTCCTCAGTGATGCTGAGGGAGGCCCTGAGCTGGGTTTACAGGCAGAATGCAGGCTTTTCTCATGCGGTTTCTGGATAACCCAGCCATTTCTCATAGAAATGGAAGGCGTGAAGTGGCTGGTACCCGCCTACATTCTACTCCCATGGATCCTGCCTGAGTTTTTCAGTGGTAGCTGTGTTCTTTGGTCTGATACCAGCATCTGGATGCAGGGCTAAGGGTAGTCGAAGATCTGGAGAGAAGTTGTGGGTATGGCAACAGCAGCCATAGAACCATTAGTAATTGTGACTGCAACTCTTTAAAAGTCTATGCTCATGGAACTATGGATGAACAAAGGTAATGTTCAAAATACAACCTCAGATGCTTTATATGACCAGAAGGGATCTCATGCCTGACTCCATACATCGACTTAGGGAAGGGTTATGGGAGCTGGTATAAGAGGCTGTGAGAGCCACAGTGGTTGGCAGCTCTTAGGATGGAGAGAAGGGTAAGAACAAATATAGCTGAAGAAGGTTGACCAATACAAAACCAGCTCCTGGGATCCACCTCTGTGCTACAGACTGGAGGGGAAGCTGAAAAGAGAGGACCCTGTCCCTATTCCTAGACACCAACAGTCTGTTAGCAGACACACATGGACAATGTGTTGGGGAATCTAAGGACAGCTGATGTGTACCCAGAATTTGTTCCAAGTCAGGTGTTATGCCCTTGAACATCACATACACTACCCTAGTTTTTTGTTTGTTTTGTTTTTTTGTTTTTCTGCAACATCTGGGTAGGTGGTCCTTGATTTATAGATGAGAAACTTGAGGCTCATAAGACAATGACTTACTCAGGGTCTCACAGCTGGTAATCGGAGGGACTAGAGAAAAACGAGGGCTGCAAGTATACAAGTCTAGTAAAAGCTGAGAGAAAAACTGATACTCTAAGAGAAAGGCAGAATCAGAGAGGCTGGCAGGGCCTCTGATGGAGAAGGAGCCTACGGTCATGCTGAGAGCACTCTGACTTTTCATCACAAGCTCTGGGGAGCTACCAAGGTCTTCTAAGCAGCAGAGAGTTTAGGAAGTGGTCCTCTCATGAAGTTGAGAACAGACAAGGATTAGAAGCAGAGGCCAAAGATCACTTGGTTGGAAATCATCCAGGAAGATGAAGATGTGCCCAGCAACCAGGGGGCATGCAGGAGAGCCAAAAGACAGGGAAGAGGTGGAGCGGAGACTGAGTTAGAGAGCACAGCCACAGGGCAACTCTTGGAAGAGATAATCATCACCTGCTCATAGTGCCAGGGAGGAGACCCACTCTTGCCAGTGGGGTGAGGCAAGACCCAGAGAGTGGCAGGGAAAGGAACAGGGGCAAGGCAGAGCCTGGAAGTCACTGGGAGAGAAATGCCAATGGGAAGGGTCTGCTTCTTCCACGAAGTATGTGGGAGATGTGGCCTACCCCCGGAAGGGCAGGGACAGGAAGATGAAGGGCTCGGTTCCCAAGTGAGAAGCTAAGACAGACTAACAGATCAGCAGACAGAAAGGAGATGGGTCTGCTGGGAAGACAGCCAGGAACACAGAGATACAGCCAGGGCAGGAGCTGAAGGCATACCCAGGCCTGGGAGAGGGGATTTATGGTATGGATAGGATGGGAGATTTTGTTTTGTTTTTAAGGTAGTTACAGATTGCTTTAACATATAGTAGAGATTTTGGTATATGTCCCCCACCTTGTGACCCTTAGTCCAAGAAAATCCTCCAGATATCAGATCCCATAGTGACTTTGTAGCATGGCTTCTGATAACATTCCTGGGGATAAGGTTAAAAATCAGCAAAGAGATCCCAGCAGCTGGCTAGTCTGGTAGAACTCTTAGGTGAGGGTCCAGACGATCTACAACCTGAATGGGAAGCTGTGGCTCTCTGCACTACCTGTCATGCCCCACCTAGGCCCTTTGAAACTCTGCTGTGATCCAGGACATCGCTGTTACATGAGGTTTAGAAAATTCAGTTCACTTGCCACCAGCTAGGGAAGCATGAAAGATGCTACTGAATTAACCACCTGGCAAGGACAGGCAGGTACATTGATAACCATCCCCTCTGCTATGGCACCAGCACCAGCGTGTTAGGGACGGGAGCCTCCTCCCTTCTTTAGTGATAACCAGGTAATGGCTAATGCATCATCAAGAAGCACAGCCAACAAACAGCCAGCCTTTGAGCATCACTCAAACGTAAAGTCCCATGGTACTTAGCAGTCATCAAGATGGTTCCCACAGGACCCTCCGCCTGAAGGGGGCCATTGTCAAAGCCAGGAGGCAGAGCAGGAGCTTCCAGAAGGGAAGGTGTTTAGTTAAGCACTACCTCACCTTAATAAAGCCTTTTTTCCCCTCCCTCCCTCCCTCCCTCCCTCCCTCCCTCCCTCCCTCCCTCCCTCCCTCCCTCCCTGCCTCCCTCCCTCCCTCCCTCTCCCCTTCTCGTTCGTTATAAGGCTAAATCATGAAGGGTACTAGTGAGCCGACCAAATTCACCTTCTGCACTCAGTCCTTCATTTATAATCCAGTTAACTTCTTTATACACCTATGGGAAGTATTGAACGGAAGGCCTTCAAAGCACCACAACCTGGCACATTTAGCATTCCTTTGTGTACCAATATGATGCTACCTACAAGGTCTGCTGTTACAGGGGAGAACAGCAAGCCAAAGAACAAAGGCACAAAGGGTGCCCCTCCCTTTTCTGTGATTAACAACAAAGGCACAAAGGGTGCCCCTCCCTTTTCTGTGATTAACAACAAAGGCACAAAGGGTGCCCCTCCCTTTTCTGTGATTAAGAATAGCTGCTTTTTCGTTTTGTAAAAAAAAAATCCATAAATATGTGAATACTTAGGTGTGTTTCCATGTACTGTGCCTTTGTTTGCACGATTTGAAGGTCATGAGAAACACGAGACAGCTGATGTGTGTGGAGACCCATGGTTATTTAACCACGACTCAAAAAATTATTTTAAAATGGGTAAATATGCAAAGGTATGCTAAAAAACAAAACAAAACAACGACAAAAAACCCTGTGATGAATGGAAATGTCAGCCTTCATACAGGGAGAAAGTGGTTTGCATCTGGGGCCTATGCCTGTTGCAGTGGGGTTCAAAGGAGCCCAGAGTCCCTGGCCAGGGGCTTCCCAGGAGGGAGGAGCAGGCTCACTGCTGGCTTCAGGGGATCCCCAAAGACAGCCTGCCCCTACCAGATTCCCGTTCCTGCTTCCTGAGAAGTAGCTGCAGCTCAGCATGGCTGTTTCATTTTGCAAGGCTGTTGCAAACATCTCCTGTCAATAAATTACCCTGTCACCCAGGGAGATTGCCGGCCTCCCTTTGATGCTCTTGCTTTCTCCCACATACATCTTCATCTCTGGTACGGTCTTCTCCACACTCCATCATTTCCCTTTTCTCTTTTGTTTTCAGAACACTTTCAATCATTTTCTTGTGGCCTCTTCCCTGGGTGTCCCTGCCTTTGGCAGCCCCAACTCTCAGGCCCCTCCCCTCTAAGTCTAACATCTGTTCTTGCTCAATTCTTCTGCAGTGTCATTGTGACTCCGAGTGTGAGTCTTAGGAGCAGGACCACCTATAATTTATCTGTGTGAGATAAAAATGTGGGAAACCCCCGTGGGAAAATATTATCATGAAATTCAAGATGGCGGTAGTAGAATCTGGCCAAATGCCAAAGCCTTCTCAGGGTAGATTACATGCCACAAAGCTGGCCCTGCTGGGATTCAAGTGTGCTCCTGTGTTAGGAGCTGAATTTCCAAGCTCATAGGTCAATGCTAATCGCCTTTAGGAGGTGTTTAGAACGAGACGCTGTCAGGAGGGTAGAGGTCCCCACCACAGCACCAGTGGTTTAAGAGAAGCCTACCTAGGTGAGCATGCTTGTCATGTCTCACCAGGCGGTACCTGGGTCATGTTCAGATGATGGCATGAAGACCATCACCAGACACAGCGGCATGCTCTTGAATTCAGCCCCCTGAATTTATGAATATTACCTAGTCTTAGGTACTCAGTTATAGGAACAGAAGTGTGGACAGTGTAAACAATATTTATTGCTTTCATTTCCTGTTCTTACCATTCTCAGGACATTTTCATCTTTGCTGTCTTGCTTCCGTCCACTATTTTAACCTACTTTAACTTGCTCAATTTGACACGACATAATCCACACTCACTAAAAATCACACGGGGTGCTCCACCTTGCTGACTTTTAAACATCTTTCCTCAATTATCTGACAGAGTGATAGGAAGTTCCCCTCAGGGACAGCAGCCCACAGATGTTAACTATTGCTTTCCTGGTCATCAGAGACCCTCAGAGTCAAGTCATGGGGTTGCAGGGACACTGAGGTAACTCCCACCTCAAAAGGAGAGCAAAGGAAGAGGAGAGAGAGCTGGCACTGTCCTGTGGAAACTACCAAGAAACTGCTGTTAATAGCGCACAGCTCACTAAGAAATCAAGATTCCTGCTTCGTTGACTCTGGTGGATAACCCGGATGCCAGTGCAAAGTAGAAGCATAGTTCTGGTTTCATGGGGTTCCCCCGCCACACACACACACACACACACACACACACACAGAGAGAGAGAGAGAGAGAGAGAGAGAGAGAGAGAGAGAGAGAGAGAGAGAGAGAGAGAGAGAGATTTCAGGGATGCTACCTTCTTCCCAGAGTGCCTGTGTTTTACCTCTGGGAGTCTCATCCCCACTCCACTACCCCCCTGTCTGAGGACCCACTGTGCACCTGTTGGTTTGCCTCTGGTGCTGAATGACCATGTTTTTCTCATGGATCGTCTCCAGCAGGGCTGTGGCCAGAGACTTCAGGTCAGCGATGGACTGTGGAGTAGCTGGGAGGCTGCACCCGTGATCTTCAGAGAGCAGATCCTGGACTAGGGAAAACACAATGTTGACAGCTCAGTCATGGAGTCTGCAACATGGGACTGCAAACCCATGTCAGTTCTTCCTGGACAGTGGGGTGTCCCAAGATTTGACACGACACTGTGTTTTCCTGAGAGCCTATGTCAACTACCATGAATAAAACAACACAAAAGTCAGTGTCAGAGTTAAGTGGAAAAGCCTCAAGGAAGTTTGACCCCTGTAAACCAAAGCATCTATCTGGTCCTGCTGCCATTTAACCCCAAATAAACACACAGAGACTTATATTAACTAGAAACTGTTGGGCCGATGGCTCAGGCTTCTTACTGACTAGCGCTCTCTTAATTAGTAACCCATTTCTATTAAACTATGTATTGCCATGAGGCTGTGACTTACCCGTAATCCAGCATGTTACTCTTTCGGCAGCATGGCGTCTCCCTGGTGGCCTCTCTCTGTCCCTCTCTCCAGCATTCTCCTCATCTGGTAGCCCTGCCTATACTTCCTGCCTGGCAACTGGCCAATCACTGTTTTATTCATCAACCAATAAGAGAAACATATATACAGAAGAACATCCCCCAACAGACTACCTTTAAAATTTTTTTTCTTCTTTTTGTCAAACTAGGATGGAACCCAGGGCTGTGCATCTGCTACACAAGTGCACTCTCACTGAGTCACACTCACACCCAAGTGCATTCTCGCTGGGTCATACTCAGACCCAAGTGTATTCTCACTGAGTCACACTCACATCCAAGTGCACTCTCAGAGTCACACTCATACCAAGTGCACTCTCAGAGTCACACTCACACCAAGTGCACTCTCAGAGTCACACTCATACCAAGTGCACTCTCAGAGTCACACTCACACCAAGTGCACTCTCAGAGTCACACTCATACCCAAAGGCACTCTCACTGAGTCACACTCACACCCAAGTACACTCTTGCTAAGTCACACTCACGCCCAGTCTTTTGCAGCTTGTTCAGAGACCAATCACATTTTCAGGTGCCAGTGTGTGAAGACATTTTTAAGGTAACTCACTGAGACTCCAAACTGTAAAAAAAAAGACCCCAAACCTAGCAAGTGTTATTTATTTCCATTTTGTTATCCATAAGGTAAGTCTCAGATGGGTTAAAAACACATGTGAAAGGTCACACTGCCCTGCAAATGACAATACTTCCTTGCCCTTCAGGCTGTCTGATTACGGCAAAAGTAATGTACCACTTTAAAGGGGTAAATCAATGGAGAGAAAACACAAGTGACCACCACCCTGGTACTCCTCCTGACTGTGAAAAACACAATGCTTTTTCAAATATCATTTCCTGTGTCACGACATGTGTGTACACAGAGTCATTCAATATCCTTCTAAAATGGGGGAAATACTCAACAACATTCCATCCCATTAATATTCCCTAAAACATACAGATGAACCCCTCACTTTAGTAGTCCATCTAGGTTTGTAAAAATTCATTTAGCTATTGCTAGATATTTATGCCATTTCCAGCTAAAATACAGAATGTATGAAGAAATTTCTTACAGCAAAAATGTTCCTGTGTGTCTAATTTATTTCTTGCTAGTTCTTTCTAGGGGATCTGTTCAGGTTTTTCATAACGGGTTGCCATGCTCACACATTTTGATTACCAATCCCATAGATCATGTTAATAAGATTTTCTCATAGGTTTTGCTAGAAGCCTTGAGTCAGTGGATAACTATGCCTGTGATGTTTGAGTGTGACTGACACTTTGTGACATAAGAGTCAGGACAGAGGTCCACACTCTAAGCTGGTGTGGTATCCAGGGATAACTATTCTATCTATCTATCTATCTATCTATCTATCTATCTATCTATCTATCTATCTATCTTCTATCTATCTATCTCCTTCTATCTCAGTCTCTGTCTGCCTCTCCATCATTCTGCCTCTGTCTCTCTCTGTCCCCCGCTCCTCTGTGTGTGTGTATATGTGTGTTTATGCATGTGTACATGTTCATGTGTGTGTGCGTGCATGTGTGGATTTATGTGGAGGCCATAGGCTGACATCAGGGCTTCCCTTAATCTCAGTCTACCTTTTATTTTTAAGTCAAAGTCTCACTATGCATCCCTGGCTAGCCTAGAACTTGCTATGTAGACCAGGATGGCCTCAAACTCATAGAGATATCTTCCTGCCTCTGCCACCTGAATGCTGAGATGAAAGACAGTATGCCTGGCACAACCTTAGCTTTTGACACAAGGTCTCTCCCTGAACCTGGACTTCACCAATTAGGCTCCAGAGGCTGGTCAGGAAGCCCCAGAGATCCTCTTACTTCCCACTCACCAGCGCTAGGACTACTAGCGTGCATCACCACAACCAGTTTTTTACATGGGTGCTGGGGATCTGAACTCAGGTCCTCACACTTGCACTGCAGACACTTTGCCTGCTGAACCACACAGATGGGCTTTTCCACATTTTTATAGGGTGTTATAGCTTCCCATTCAAAATCACTTCTAGGATGTTCCTTTCTAGTTGAGTGTGGAAAAGAAGTTGCTTGGGCAAGAACCTCAATTGCTAGGTCCACTGCAGATGCTGTGTTTTTTAAGGTCAGTTCTGCTTAAGACTGGGCCAGGATAGCTGCCGGTCAGCGCTGTCCGCAGCTGAGAAGCCGGTCTGCGCAATCTTAGGCTTAAGTCGAGAACTGACTGCAGAATATGAAGTACCAGACTCAAGCTTTCTGCTATTTATTCCCCCAGACTGCTCCTGGAAGATCATTATTCTTCATTGGAATCGACAGGAAGGACGAACAACGCTGCAATCAATAAAAGCTTCTTTGAAAACGGCATGCGTTCCCATGATCCATGGTGCAATGATCTATGCAGTAGGGGGCTCTGCCCTTCTGTCTGCAGAGGCCAGGAGAAATACACTTAAGGAGGCTGGACATCTAGAGGCTCTCAGGTGGTGATGGGGAAGGAAAAACATTTTCAAGAGGATCCAGTCATTGGAGAAGCTCTAAGGTGATGGTTCCTAAGGTGGGGTCTCCTACTACAGCAGCATGGCCTGGGCACCCCGCAGATGTAGACTCTCAGGTTCTACCCCCAAGACCTGTCAAAGCAGAAACCTGGGTAGGGGGTAATCTGCATTAGAAGGACTCAGGCAGCCTGATGCAAGTGGCAGTCAGGTGCCACTGTTTTCTGTCCCACAGACCCAGAGGCTTAGATGGGTCATGGACTGCAGCTCTCTGCTCAGAAATTGGTCCATCCTGAATATTAACTCCTACCTTGCTTCGCAGACAGGATCCCAGTCAGGGCACTACTGCTGGACTTGCCTTGGCCCTTGGAGTTTTTCCGTCTCTCCAGAGCATTCTGCAGCAACAATGGAAAAACCAAAAACCTTTGTCAGAAATGGCAGCGATGGAAAAACACCTTGTTAAGAGAATACCCCCATGTACTCACAGGAACCCTGGCAGACTCCAAATGGAGCCTAAAACATAGAACTCTTAGTCCTTGGGATTTTAAGAGGCTCCATATAGAGAGTTTGTTTGGTTTTTAAGTTACTGCCAAGGGGAAGGCAGTAGCTGTAGTCCCTTGTATTCAGAAGTGTTTAACTCACCTTCCCTAAATGGGGTCTGAGGCAAGAACCCAGCCTAACACGTGGAAATACTTGTTACAGAAATCATTTTAGAACAACCCTGACATGAAGACTACATTGGCTTTCCTGTACCAGTGGTGGTATCTGGAAAGATATGATGCTTGGATTGGAAAAGAAAAATCGTGGGTGATGTCTGCCTTGGACACAAGATTAAGTATACATGCTGCCATTCTTAGGATGGACTCTTGCCTTCACATGATATATAGTAGTCAGCCATTGTTTAGAATATGAACACAATACACAAAACGATATAAATGGTTGTAAATTTATAATACTAAAAAGCACACACTTCCTTGCTGCATGTTTATATGTAGATTGATGTAAATGAAAGTGTGACTCCTGCCAAATGGAAAGCCATGGTGATCTCTGAGAACAAAAGCCAATGTCAACAACCAGGACAATGAGCCAGCTCTCCCTAGCATTCAGTTGGTTGTAAAACTTCACCCGCTGGAAGGGCCATCAATCTATTTTTCAAAGCAGAGAGACCCAGGAGAGTTTTCCAATTATAACACTTACAAACAACACTGCAGAAATAGATATTATCAAACCAATGGAGCCAGAATTAGACTAAATGACAGTGAGGCAAATTCAAACATTCTACCCTTCCAGTGTGCCTCAAACACTAGCATTTAGGCTATGATGTTCATCTTTGTGTCTTCTCTCACCAAAACCACTTTCTTGGGGATAATTATGAGATAAATAGAAACTGACAACTGTACATTTCACAGAGGAAGTGGAGAGGACCCCTGAGTTCACAGGGCTGAGGCTCCAAAGTATAACTACAAGGGTTTCAGAGGTTTCGCAATGCCCTGTCGGGACTACAGACATGGAAGCAGATATTGGGAACAAATGGCATTGGGAGTTTACTGTGGTTGGTTTTATTGGCTATCTCAATTAGGGCTCTTGTTGGGCTCCATTTGGGAGGACAGGAAAGTGATGGAGTGTCTTTGAAACATAGAAGAGAATCAAACTAGGATGACATGAAGATGCCCAGTGGAGAATCACAGGCATCATCTTGACTGTGTTACCTTGTACTTGGCAATGTTTGACTTCAGAAGGCTGACCTCCTCATGGAGCTGTTTCAGTCTCTCTTGGAGATATCTAGAAAAACACACACCCATAACCAGGATGGGCATGGGGGTAAAATGAAGCCCACTGAATGATAAGAGCAAAACATAAAGCCCAGATGTCATTTGCTTGTAACGACTTCTTTCTCATCCTGGAAGGCAGGTGTAGGAAAATGTGACCTTTTATTAAATGGAAGTGATCAAGGTCAGACATGCCCAAATCGCAGACATCCCATTTTGAAACAGCCCTCTTGGAGATCCCCTAAGGGATAACAACATCCTTTTCACATAATTCTCATTAAGATGATTCCACCAGGGAGCAAACCAGGAAGAGAAGGCGCCAGTCATAACACGAGTCAGACACATCCACATGCTGAAATGTGCCTGGGGGCAAAGACACAGCTAAGGGAATTTCTCAATTTATTTTCTTATTCTTTCTCCTCTCCTTGACAGCAGCCACAAACAACTCTTCCTGGCTCTTCACCCTTGTGGCCCAAACAGAGAAAGTGTGGGAAGCGAGGGAGGCTAGATAAGTGGGCGTCTCCTCCTTCTCTTCTTACTTTTACAACCAGCACATGCCATTGCTAATATTTGGGGGCTGTGACTTGCTTTGCATTCCAAATGTGGCTGTCTCGACTGCAGGCAGGGGCTTCAGGAACCCCCCAGACTGCCTCCCTCCGGTGCTCAGCACTTGCCTGTTCTCCATGCACAGAGCATCCACGTCAATGATACGGTTCTCGTGACCGCCCAGGATATGGTTGAGCTCCTGGTTCAGCCTGTCCACCTTGTCCTGGTAGGAAGCCCGCTCTTCCTTCACATCCTGGAGTTCATCCACTGACGCCTGCAGGTCATGTTCCAAGGACTCGATCTGAAAGCCAAGGAGTGTCATCACAGTGGTTCTCAAATGTGGACTTTTGGGTCAGGGGTGTAGCTTCCAAAAGCCTGGCTGACTTGGAGAGTTTATGGGTACTACCCAAGTGCTAGAATCACCCACATTGCAGCTGGGTAAGGGCTGGAGCTAGGGGGCACCTTCCACCCCGACACTTAACATGGGTGGGCCAGATGAACCTGCTCTCCGGGCCCTGCGCATTGCTCTCATTCACAGGCAAGGAAAAGGCAGGCTGATGCTAGAGTCTTACAAAGACATGCTGTCCCCAGCCACTCAAACCCTGGGTGTCCTGTGTCCAGCTAGCCAGAGAAGAAGAAGGAAGTTTGTTCCTGTAGCTGTTTCCCATGCAGGGCTCCGCACCCTCTGAAATCCTGCCTACGAAACATTGCTCAGCATCTTAGTGGAAACCCCTAAGTTAAAGGTCAGTCTGTCACATTTCCTCCCAACTGCCTGTGCAGGTAGATGGTGGCAAGTCTCTTGGCATGCACTGAACAACAGACATTCAGTGCTGGATACCCCTGGCTGCGGTCAGACACTCAGCATGAACCCAGGAAGAACGGAGGAAGTCAAGCTCTCTCAGCATCCCCTGGCTTCCTCTTGGACTTGGACACAGGAGTATGTGTGCCCTCCTTCCTGTTGTGAGGCCACATGCAGGCATCCCCACCCACAACAGAGCTCAGCAGTCACCTGTTCCTTAGCTCGCTCCAGCTGCTCAACCAAATCCTCCCGCTCATGGGCTGCGAAATGCCTCATGCCAATTTCTTCATCTCCGAGCCTTTGTTTAGCAATTGTCATCCTCAGCAGCTGCATGTTCCATTATCGGAAAAAAAAAGCAAAAGGAGAGAGAAAGAGAAAGAATTGAATGAGTACATCCCTCCAAACCTCCAGGACCTATCCAGACATTTCTGGAAGAATAAAATTCTTGCAAGAACTACTGGGAGAAAGTATAAGACAAACTGCTTATCCATATTATGAAGTTTTAAGAAAGAGAAAAGTTCTGCTCTAATTTTTGCTTGTTGATACACATGCGCACACGTTCAGTGTAAGGCTGGGGTACCCAGGCTTGATCCTGGAAGGTGGATGTTCTATGGGGCACTGCCACAATGGGGAAGAAACTCTTGAACATCATTTAGACTTAGCAAAGATCAAAAACAACCCCCTAGGACTGGTTAAGATCTACTGAGAAGACAAGCCCCATCTATTGAACCACCAGGCAATGCTATGAAGAACTTTAAAATTGCTATTCAATGTCCAGTAAGTGCTCCTGCCAACATGGTCTGTGAATGACCCCAGACATGGACTAGCTTCTTGAGAAAAAAGATAGTATACTGCAGAACACAAGTCTTATATATATGCAGTATGACCAAGTATGTGCTAAGAACTTAGATTTGAGAGAATACACAAAATGACCAAATAAAGTACCCAAATATCTATGTTTGGGATACCCTGCAAAATATCTCCCAGCTCCTGCCTCCCAGGTAAGGCCACAGCGGGAACTATGGGAGAGGTCCTAGGATAAACGCATACTCTTAGGGCATCCATGCCTGCCCATCACAATGCGCTTATCCTAAGAAGGTTCATTATGCATTGACTCATCCCTATAGCTGCATGTGGATGGGCTGGCATATGCATGAAGCCCTCGGAACACGTTGTCCCGATCATGTGGATGTGGCAGCCCAGCATAGCTCACTGTGGGCATGCTCTTTCTTGCTCCTGCTTGAGCAGTAAGAGAACAGTGACCAGCACGAGGGGCTAAGCTTCAGCATTCCTGAAGGAGATGGGTCAGGTGAGAGATAGAAAGTTAGTTTAAACCCAGGCAGAATTACCTAATTGAAATTATGACAGCAGTGAACTTGAAAAGCAGTGATAACTGCAGAAAAGCAGGCAGGATGCAATGACCCTCCACGGCTCACTGAGTCTCACAATATCTACCGAGTGCTGGGAGCCAAGGCCTGGCAGAGGGTGGAGGATACTCATATGCAGAACTCCACTCCTAATGGGATCTGCTAAGTCCATCCTTTGGGTTCATTCACAGCGTGTGGATTTTTGGATTTTCCTACTCAACACAGCTTACTTATTTTCACCCCCAAATCCATGTTCAAGGTCTTCTGGTGTCATTGTTGAATCTTCACAGAGTGGGAAATACATGAGGACCTGATGTTCAGTGCAGATGAGGTCAACAAGGCCACCTTCTGCCTCCCTGCCTCACACCATGGATGTCCTGTCCATGGCCTGCTTGGTGCTGAGTGGGGTTTTTTTTTAAATAAAATTCACATATTTGTGGGACTCAATGTGTTGCATTCACACATGTGTGAACTGTATGATGATCATGGCACGGTAATTAATACACATTTCACCTTCCACATTTATCATTTACTATGAAATGCTTGGGAACCTAACTGCTCTGAAATACACAATGCATGGTGCTTATTAACCATGGTCACCTACTATGCAATAAGGCATGGAGCTTAATTCTCCCCTTCAAGTGTGACTCAGCCAGGATGCTAACACCTATGCTCCCATGCCCACCCCAGTCTCAGAGAAACACCGCTCTCTTTTCTACTTCTGTCCTGTTTGATTTTCTGCTTCTGTGATGAAACACTCTGACCAAAAGCAGACTGGGAAGGGAAGGGTTGGTTTTGGCTTACACTTCCAGGGACAGCCCATCGCTGAGGGAAATCAGGGCAGAAACTCAAGCAGGAATGCAGAACCCAAAACCAGAGCTGCTGACTGACTTGCTCCTGGCTCCTACCGAGCTAGCTGTCTTGTGCGACCCGTGCTCAAAGGCTTAGGGATGATGCGCTCCACCCCCACCCCAGCGGGATGAGCCCTCCCACATCTATCAAGACAGTCTCTCATAGACACGGCCACCATCCAGTCTGATTGAGGCAATGCTTCAGGTGAGGCTCTCTCTTCCCAGGTGACTAAAGGTTGTGTCAAGTGGAAAATAAAAACTCGCTAGCGTAACTTCTCTGTGACTACCCTTTTTAAGATTCTGGATACGAATATGATCCTGATGTCTTTCTGTGATTGATTTACTTATTTATTTAGCTAACATGATGTCTTCTGGATTTCATTCATTATGAAGACAGAGTGGTATCCTCTGGGCATATGTACCATATCTTCTTTATCCAGTCCATTGGTGCACACTTAGGTTGGCACCATACTACGGCTAGCCTGAGTAGCATATCAATGAACACAGGCACGAATGTATCTTTTTGATATACAGATTTCATTCCCTTGAATACATACCCAGTAGTGCAACTGATACAGTTTGGTGCACATACGTAACATTTTTAATTTATTTATAATTTGAAGCGCTACAGCATTTCTTCCCACAGTTGTACAAATCCATACTCTCACTGGCAGTGTGGGCAAAGGTCTCCTGATGATGGCTTCATGCACACTGCTGGTATGCTGTCTTGTATTTCTGAGTGCAAGAAAGAAGGCTACGACGTGCCTCACAGGGAAAAGTTGTGAATTAAAGCTCCCTCTGGGTCTAAGTTAAAGAATGGGTGAGTTTTGTGCTGATAAATTAAACATCTCTGTTAAAGTTTAGGTTGCAAGCATACAGAAAACAGTTGTGATGAGCATGGGCACAGTAGCTGTGGCAGAGGCTGCAGGAGCCTCCCCGCCTCCCCTGAGGCCAGTACCCTCACACTCAGCATTGAAGTGGCCTCATGGAACACGTGGACACACAGCAAAGCCGAGAAGCAGCATTTGTCAAGCCCTAGAGACTGGATCATAAACACACAGGCTTTTGGCAGGCGGCCACAGGAGGCTCAGGCTGTGACTTGACGACTCGAGCCTTTTCCTGACATGCTAGATAGACAGCCTGAGCTAGAGGTAAAGAAACCTCACTTTCCAGTCACAACTGGCCTCAGTGCACATTTCATTTAGCGCCATACAATTATGTTTGTTAATGCCAATTAATTATTACACATGCCTAGTGAGGCCCCACTCCATAGAACAGAGCTGTCTTCACACTGGATGCTGGTTAAATGTCAATCAACATGTTAGCTATCATTTGGTGTTTAATGTGCAGATAATATTACTCCCACATTGCAGGGCTGAACTGGTTGAAACACATTTAAACTGAAGCTCAAGTTGAGTTGTTAGTTGGCTCTGAAATTTAAATGCAGTCAGCAGAAGGGGCCTGGTGAAGCTATTGCTGTGGCTTCATAGAACCAGGGACATCAAGCCTGCCTTCTACAAGGACAGCTCATAGGCTCTGGGGTCACCTGTTTAGGGCTTCCCATACTCACACCCCCAAAAATGAGCTTGAATGTCTCCATGCCTCTGTATTCCCTGCTGAGAGCACAGCACGGAATGGGAGAGAGTAGAGGCATAGTCAAGGGACACTGGCTTAGGGACCACACAGGTGAAAAGGAATGAGGGATGCAAAAGAAAAGAAGTCATTCTAAAATCTGAGTGATTCCCCTCACCCTTATGCGGAGAGTGACTGCATTTAGGTATTCAGTGTTCATAGACTATATTTTCCCAGCTATATATGCAAGGTTGGGATGTTTGCAATCATCAATAGTGCCACAGTTTGGAAGCATGCATGAAACTGTTTGCCCTGGACTGTTTGTGTAATTTAAGGACCATCCAGGTAATCTGAGTTTGCCCCATGTTGATGATAGCCAAGGCCCTGAAGAACAGAAAGTGGTCCTTCTCTATGGCATTAGCTTAGTCCAGGAGCAGAGAAAGTATGTGACTAACTAACACCAGCTGCTTGCAGAATGGGTATCATCATCACCATCACCTTCATTACTGTCACTGTCATTATGATCATTGTTATCATCACCACCACCACCACCACATCATCATCATCATCATCATTATCATCATCATCATCATCATCTTCTTCTTCCATTCAATAGCTCCTAACAAACACCTAGGGAAATATGCTGTCTTCGAGATGGTTGAAGCTGAGCTCTAGACCCAGGCTTACAAGACAGCACGAGGGGGTGGCTGTCTATCACTGGAAGTGACAATAAGTACTGCTCCCACACTAGCCATCCTCAAACAGGGCACCACAACAATACAGCTAGTCTCCCAGTGCCAAGAGGACTAGTGCTCTCTGAACGCCCGCTCTGTCAGCAAGGGACACCACCATTTGCTGATTTAGAGAGAAATAAATGTTTATGAATGAATTATGGACATGAGTCTTTGGCTGGTCACAATGCCCAGCTGCAGCTCAGATGTAGCTAGGAGACAGGGGAAAAAAAAAACAATGTAGCAGGAAGACTCCAGGTCATTGCCAGCTGCCCAGGCCCTGCCAGGCTTAGCCTATGTGAGGTCTCCCTTGTCACAGAGAATCAATCCTTCTTTGACCTCTTCCCAGGTTTCCCCGTCATGGGGGAAACGTACATTGTTTTCATTTGCTGGAATCCAGTTTGTCCAATGGGCACTGGGCAGCAGCTAGGGTGGGAGCCACTATTCTCTGAGTGTTACCTGTGTTCAGATTCTTCTTCTGCTAATCCTAGCTATGCTCCCTGACAAAGTCACCTAACTTGCCAAGCCACATGTGATTTGTGGACTTAAAAGACAAAGATTAAGATACACCAGTGTCTATGCAAGAGTTTGTCAGCCGGCATGGTGACACACACCTTTAATCCCAGCACTCAGGAAGCAGAGGTTGGTGGGTTTCTGAGTTCAAGGCCAGCCTGGACTCCAGAGTAAGATCCAGGACAATCAGAGCTACACAGAGAAACACTGTCTCAAGAAAACAAAATAACAAGATGATCGGGCCTGCGCTCCTCTCTTGGGACTCCAGAGACTGTCATCCACACACTACTGTG